GTGTGTGTGTGTGTGTGTGTGTGTGTGTGTGTGTGTGTGTGTGTGTGTGTGTGTGTGTGTGTGTGTGTGTGTGTGTGTGTGTGTGTGTGTGTGTGTGTGAGGCGGTGCCAGGGCATAGCCTACTTCTCGTACCCTACTTTACCCCTCAGAGCTCCGACTGCAACATCTCCTCCTGTTGTTTCTCTTTTTTTTTTTTTTGTTTTTTTGATTCATTTTGGCCAGATGGTGGATTACAGTTCAGGGCAAAGGCTGATCGCTGCCGCTGTCACAAGAAAGTGCTATTTTAGAAGCTGATCCACTGGTTTCACAGCATGTTACAGCCCTTAAATATCCTATCAAAGATGTTCAGATTCAACCAGGGCACAAATCAACACATGGATATCACATGTTGATGATAGCTAGCAGGAACGTTGGGATCCTTTTAAGCTATGCTAATAAATATTTTAACAATAGATCAAATGACTGCATGTAATGTGAAAGGGGTTGCACGAGACATTTTGGGGCTTTTCATCGTATTGTTTTGGTTTTCTGGCCCACAGCATAACTAGTTTGGTTCATTCTCGCCGCTCTCAACGACCTTAGTTCCAGCATCAGTAGGAAACTGTTTTTAAATATTGTTTACCCCGGCTAACATTAGCCGCCGTAAGCTAATTGTCACACCAGACCAAGTGAGGGTGTTGCAGCAAACACCCAGAGAGTATTCCTGTGAATTCTACTTTATATGTATGTGAGAGAATGTATTTATTGTTCCCAAGAGTAACATATTCTCGCTTTAAAACAATAAAATGAAGCGTCCTAGTCGAGGAATTGGATGTGCTGTGAACAGATACACAAGTTCCTCTTCTTCTTCTGCACTTCTGACCTCTTAAGGCTGCAGTCACACCAAATCAGGCGTTTCAGCGATTAGTGTCGCTTATGAACGGCTCATTTAACGCCAGGCAACTGCGCGACGATTAGCGTCTTTGTTCCCTCGTGTTTGGGTTTGTACATCTCTGGATCACCGGATACATTATTGGCCACCGCTGTGTGACGTCGGGTTGCATTTCTCCAAAAGTTATTTCAGTTTTAACTTTATGCTGCAGGCCGCTGAGTTTTTTTTGTTTTTTACCGGCCCACTGCCGCAGCCTTAATGCGTTGCCCACATTCAAATGAATGGGAGGACTGGCGTGACTGCAGCCTAAGGCCTTCTTGCTGTAGCTGATCGACATTAATTTCGAACTGAACTCTGGGACCTGCATTATTAACAACAGCAACCACAGGGATCTCTCCAAATATTTTACCCTTGACTATTGTATTTAAGCTCTCTTTGATATTTTGTCTTCTTTTAGCAATTTAGAGTTGAGACAGGCATGCACTCCTTGTTCCCATCATGTTCTTGTTTGATCGTTGTGGGACGCTTTGCCTAAATGTGTTTAGAAGACTGTAATACTGTCTGTACACGTGTCCTCTCGTGCATCACTGCTGAATGATCTTTGGCAGGTTTACCTCTCTAATTTCAGAGTGACTGCTTCTTTAATTAAGACTTTGCTCAGTAATTAACCGAGCTTGGGTGCGTTCCTGTCCGTGGTTTTTAGATCAGATTGACAGATGAGAAGCAGGACTGCAGCGTTTGAAGAAGATTTGTGAATCTTATTCTTACGTTTGCATTTAGCCTAGTTTCCCTTCTTCTTCTTCTCTTAAACCTCACAGCTTCTTTCTCTCCCCTCTTTTCACTCACATCTTTAGTTTTTGTCTTCATTACACTTGGATGAAGACTAAATCTTGACACATGAAAAGGCTGAAGCGTTTCTGTGGCACAGGCAGCCTCTTTAAAGTGAGACGATAACCTCATGCAGTTCCGCCGTCTTTTGACTCTCCCTTCCTTTCTGCTTGTTAGAAGCAGGGGAACTAGAAGGGTCTTTAACTGACAGCTCGCCGTTTCCCTGGCTTCCCGTTTCTTTCTCCTTTCTTTTCTTTTTAACTGGCTGACAAAGGCAGCGGAGGACTTTGCAGAGTGTAGTTTCCTCGGTCAAAGGAAATGGTTAGAGGAGTGGAGCAGGGGGAGAGGAGGTGTATCTGTCAGTAAGAGAGGCTGTGCTGGGAGAAGGAGGAAGGGGTGGGGCCTGTGCTCCCATTCACATTGGTGGTACTTGGCTTAAGAATGAGCTGGGCTGGGTAGGGGGTTAGAAGTTTTCCTCAGGAGGGTTGGTCAGAAACGGAGCCAAACATCCAGGAGAGCAGGCACAGAGTGCATGTTGTTGAGCCGACTGAACCTGAGACTGGAGGAGCTGAAGGCTGGATGATGATGAGGAGGAGCCGCTCGCACACCAGAGCAGACATGCAGGGAACAAACCGGGGTGAGACACTTTGTGGGGAGAAAGAGGAAGGTAACTTTATGACTGTGGTGATTTAAGGTGACAGGAGTGTTTGGTGATAGCTGTTCATTCTCAGTTTGACAGACACAATTATTTATTTCATAAAGATTAAGGTTTATTGCCTGGAAATATTTACAGCTGCAACAATAAGACGATTAGCTGATTGGCTGATTGGCAGATAATTAGTGGGCAGCTATTTTTGTTAATCAATTATTCACTTTTTCACCAGTTTTTACACATTCTCTGTCATCAAATGTGAGATTCTTCAGTTTTTCTTGTAAATTGATTAACTTTGAGACCACAATTGATCACTTATAAGAGAAAACTTTCACTCTTCTCAGTTACTGCTCATTAAAACAAGTGTGTGTGTATGTGTGTGTGTGTGTGTGTGTGTGTGTGTGGGGGGGGGGGGCCTCCGCTCTCTTTCAGTGCAGTATAATCATTGACAGCGTTCAGCGCACCAATCAAACAAACCAGTAGCTCCTCATGTGAAATGCCTGTTCAGTGAACCGCTTTCTTTGTGGGCTTCTTGTAGTCCATAATATTATTCAACCTTTTAGTTTCCAGGGAAGTCATTGAGATTATAAATCCTGTCCAAGAAAAGCTGCAACAACAGTGAGTTACAGAAACACAAAGTCAGTTAATCGGTTTGTTTATCCAAAAAAAGTAATCGCCAAGCTGTGACAATCAATTCCTTGTTTGAGTCATTTACAAAGCAAAAATGAGTAACAGTTAATCGACATTAAAAAACGAATCCAGCTCTAGTTTACATCTGGCACCGTGACCAGCTGTCTGCCTGTGAGAAGGTAGGTTGTCTACAAAACTAAAATAGCTTTGTTACACTTTTCCTCTTATGTTCCAGGAGAGAGAGAGAGAGAGAGAGAGAGAGAGAGAGAGAGAGAGAGAGAGAGAGAGAGAGAGAGAGAGAGAGAGAGAGAGAGAGAGAGAGAGAGACTCTCTCTCCGTGATGATCAGGGCCAGTATTATAACAGAGAGTTTTCTCTTCTTCTTCACCTGGTGTGGAGAATATTTTTAGACTCTCTCTCTCACCTCTGAGGCGGTGGATGTGTGTTTATGGCGTGGTGCGAACAAAGAAGGATTTAGTGCAGAGCTCCTTCAGTTGGTGTCAAAGCAGGTTTGTGTGACGTTGCGGTCTTGCTGGGCCGGGCCAGTAAACCCTGTTTATACTGTATCTTTGTAAAATGGCCGCCATTAAAAAGAGGCTTTCACACCGTTTGCCTGTCTGATTGCCAAACGCACACGAGAGGTTGCCCTGCATGCCAATGAATGTCATAGGAGTGAATCTAGACTGCTGTATGTGTGATGAAATCCACTGCGGTGAGTGGTGGTTGTGATATCAGGCCTTTAACTGCAGACTCTGTTTCACATTATATTCAGGGACGTCTGAAGTCTCAGAGTATTGATCTCGGCTGAATAGATTTCTGTTCTTTACGACGTGTAAAAAGTAAAGGGGCACTTTGGGAGAAGAATATCTGGAAAAGCTTTTATTCTGAAAGTCAAACTTTGACCTCTCCTCCGTTTGTTTGCAGTAAAAGCAAAGTACAAAACATTCAGGTAGTTATTATACTTATGCTGACAAATAACTGGCCACATTTTGAGTTCTTAAAATGTCAGCTTGTTCTTTAGTATCGTGTCTTTTACAACTGTCTGTTGCTTCATAGTTGAAAGATACTCTTAAATAGACTCAGATTTGATGAGCAGGTTTGGTACTAGACCCTGATTCTATCAAATGTAAAATTATAAATAATATATGCAATTACCGGGGCTGCCCTGAAGCCCCATATTCATTGTTTATCAGTTGGTTTGTGTTCATTAATCCAAAGCAAACTTGTTTGGTGATTAACACGTGTAACGCACAAAATAACTCGAATGTTGAGGGTCTTCTGGTCTTGCATGGAGGCCTGTGTGTCACAGTATAAGGTGCACATTCCTAAATAAATTTGTTTCACCAAATTACGACAAACCATAAAGGGTTAAAACCAATTAAAGCAAAGAACTGCAGCGAGCGCCTCACAATGTGTGTTGGCTTTTAGTGTGTCGGGTTTTGATCCAAACTGTTTTATGCAGAGCGATCACATTTAAGAAAAATGCACCCACTGCAGATTCTCTCTATATGAGTAATTCTATAAAAGTGTCAGTGCTGAAGGATTGAGGATAAAACTGTGAAGCTTTGGTGTGACAGCAGATCCCAGAGCTGCTGCAGAGCTGAAGGCTCGACGCAGGAGAAATATGACTTTAAATCTCTCTCAAGCCATGTGGCAACGCCAATGATGAGACATCAGAGTCGGCCGGTCCTCACACGGACCGGTACTCTAATTCTGTCCGTGTTTAGTGTCATTAGCCGGTGTGCCGGCACATTCCTGCTGCTGGAGGAGTGACTGAGTCCGTCTGTCTGCTGCCCGACTGAGTGGCATTAAAACCTTCAAGGGCTTTTCCAGACAAAAACAAGTCTGCTCGCAGTCAGCTGACACTGTCGACATTAGGGGGGGGTGATTAAAATGTAATTTACGAGCCCCGCGATGGTGTTTTTGCTGCAAATATGAGATGAACAACATTAATGTACTGCAAAACAATAAGTTTGATAATTTGATTACATTTCTGCTGAGAGTAAAGAGCAAGCAGTTTCATCTCTCGTTTATATTGGCCAGTCATTCTTTTTGATATGATTCTGCACATAATTTAATAAAAAAATGGATAAACATGTCAAATAAAACACAAGGAACACAAGACTGTCATTTATCAAGAGAAAATAACAAACGTGTACTGGTCCAACTACTCAAATGTGAAAATGTGCTGCTTTTCTTCATAATTTATGACTGTAAATTGAATATGTTTTGGACAGTTTGACCAAAGGGGCCCCTCTAATGTTTGAGGCCCCCGCTCACCATGGCAACAAAAGGGAGACCAGGGCCACATGATCATGACGGGGGGGCTTTAACACCAGCTTGAGACCCCTCTGCTTTCCTTAGCAGAGTCCAATGCATAGCACCAGTCATCTGGAGTCCAGAGGGATTAGAGCTCATTCACTCATCAGGACAGAGTTAGAGGGCAACAAACGGATCTGAGGGAAGCAACGGCAACTTAAGACCCTCTAGAGAAGGTGCAATTTACTCAAGATAACATATATTGGTTAGTTTTTACTTGAAGTTTGTGTAGTTCCTGGTGGCACGCTTAAGTGTAGATGAACATTAACCACCATGTTTGTTGCCAGAAAGCTACGAGTTTGACTTTATAGCCCAAACCAGACGTGCAGATCTTTACGTTAATCTGATGGCAGTTCAACGTGTTGGTCTCATGTGTGAATAAGCACCCACATCACTTTGAGACAGTGAGACGTGCTCAGGACCGCCGTTAATTAATTAACAAAAATACGTTTTAACAACCCTCGGTGATGCAGCTTCTCTCTCTCCATATTCCTTGTCTGAAAATGATTATTTTTGGTTTTGTCTTCCTACGAACCACCAGGTGAGTTTACCGACTGGTGCACATTAAACCAGCACAAAGGAACCTTTAATTTAAAATCACCTTTAGAGTGATTCATGTTTCACACCCAAGTATCATCTTCAGTAGAAGGAGTTTCTCTGACAGCTGCAGTTTGTAACAATCCCTGGGCGTTAGCGCAGTGCTGTAATCAGAGAGGATTATTTGTAATAAATATTGTTGTGGACTAAGTAGCTTTTCTCTGTGCATAGTGAAATCACATGAGATTAATCCTACAGGCTCTTCTCATTAGAAACACCACATGTCTCTCCTGCTGCCGTTAACTCACGGCTTCCTTCATATCGACTCTGTAGCATGAATCAACGGCACACACTGGTACATTTTAAACTCGTCGTGTTGAATACCTTTCTTGTTATATTCCCAATAGCTACCACAATCAAAGTAAAGTATTAACAGATGCTGGCGCAGTATTTATAATAGTAGAATTATATTTTTGTTTTGGAAGTTTCACATATAACAACATATTGTAGTACCTGATTTGTCCCAATCGGTTATTATGAGTATAAGTAGGGATCAGCCTGACATTGAGTGAGCTAATTAACGCGCGCTAATCACAGTTAAATCGCAGCAGGCTCTCCGTAAACTTGGCAGGTTGTAAAATGACTTGGCAGCATGGCCCTGTCCTGGCAGGTGGGAGTCTACAAGTGTCTGGCCAGCGTGCCGGCTGTCAGTCAGTCCCTCTTTCACCTCGTTAAGGAACACGGACGGGCTTCCCCTGCAGGTTAAGAGGGTTACCGAGTAGGTGACACAAGAGGGGAAGTCCGAGCTGCTGAGCTGCAGTCTTGCCATACTTTACACCCTCAGTCATATCTCGTGTGACTTGCTGGACGAGCCTGAAACTCAAGGACGGGACGCACCCGTCTGTCTGATATCCTCTGCTGTGACTCACCGTGGTGTTCTTTCTTTAGAGCACAAAGTCTGTTGTTTAGTGTGTTGTCCATGTGCACCATGACCTCATCACCATGCGTCCTGTCAGGCCATTGTTCTCTGCACAACACTCAACTGTTCAACCATCCACGAGACTCATTGTCGACACCGTGGTCGGTATGCGGCTGTTAACAGTGTCAATATTTACCAGCGGTTAGGGAGGGAAGCAGTAAGTGCTTTTGCCTCCTACGTTGTTATGTTTGATTAACACCCACCGCCACAGCAAGTTCGACCCGTCTCCTCTTCTCTGCGTTTCTGTTATCCACAGTTATGAACTTTAAGTTTCCCCCCAACGCTGATGAGATGTGTGGGGACAGTGGCCTTTGTTGTCAGCCGGGGAAATTGCCTGCATGTTAGGAGCCATTTTACGTCTCCAATGAAAGGAGAGCCTTTTCTTCTGCTGCCTCACAAGCCTCATGCCTCGAGCCCTCTTAGTGCTGCTTGAATGGGCTTCATGAATGGCCCGTCCTGGTTCTCTGTGTGTGGGCTTGTGGGACATTTGTATGCCTCAGTCTACTGTATATCATCTCTGTTTTGCCTCTGTTGTAGTTGTTAGTAGACAAATTCCTTGAATGCACCCCGGTGAGGAGCTCGAACAGCTAGAATTTGACCTTATTAGTATCTGGCAGGAAAAAACATGCCAATTCAACGAGTGGTTAGTTTCCGAGATGAGATGATTAAATATCACAGCAACAGGTCTGAGTGTCAGCTATTTAAAAGAACACAGTTAATTCAGGAAATGTTCAAATACCAAATCATTTTAATGCTCAGCAAGCAGAGACCTGAAACAACAGCAAATGAGGAAGCTATCCGCTTCTGAAGACTTGTGACTTGACCTGTCCTTGAGGACGGACCTGGGACTGAACTTCAGACTTTGTTTTTCTGAGACTTAACTTTGACTTATCTGAAATGACTTGAGACTTGAGAGTAGACTTGACTCAAATGACCAGATCTGACTTGAGACTTGCTATTACAAGACGTAACACTAGAGGCGCTCCTGCAACGCTTGACTTGGAATTTCTCTTGTTGTACCTGAGACTTCCTATTAGTATTAAAAGACTTGAGTTTGACTTGTTGCACTGCAACCGGAGGTTTCCGCCTGGACTTGACTTGGTCTTGTCACATGTGACTTGAGACCCCAAAGACTTGGAGATTTAAACGTGTCTTCATCTTTGTGAGCCTCACACTGTTGTTCTTCTCTCTCAGAGAGAGTGACCCCTCTGAGCTGCCACCATGGCCCTGGTTCAGGCTCTGCCCATATCTGGTGAGCCACACAACCCAGGCCACAGTGGAGGACCCCGCAGGAGACACCCCTCCAGCTCTTCACCCCCCATCAACGCACCCCCCTCCGCTCTGGATCCTATGGGTTCTGTCAGCAGCCTCATCGCCACCCGCCCCGGCCCCTACCAGGACCACCGGTCTGTCGTTGAGCTTGGAGCGAGGGTGCGACGGCCCACGCCAGGCGCCTCCTTCCTGGGCTCTGAGTCGCCCTTAGACCCTCTATTACTTCAGAGCATCCCGCCGTTCAAGCAACAGAGCTCCACGACTTCCAGCAAGGGGCTGGAGAAGGAGGGTGGGAACGGGAACTACACCTATCTGAATGAGGACTATATAGGCGACTGGAACGACAACCATGTAACACGAGCCAGCCCAGGAAGTGATGCAGGCGAGACTAAAGGATCAGGGTTGAATGGGAACATGGGGGGACCTCCTCCAAAATTGATCCCTGTGTCTGGGAAACTGGAGAAGGTGAGTCTTTGAATAAAGTAGCTTGAGTTCACTGATAAAATCTTACATTACATATACATGTTGTAGGTTGTGGTGCTCTTTAACTGTATTGCAATATACATTTATTATATCTCTGCTCTAGAACATGGAGAAAACAGTGCTGCGGCCCACCGCCTTCAAACCCGTCATTCCCAAGAGCCGCTCCTCCATGCAGTACCTCTCCCCTCGCCACTGTGCCAACATATCAGAAAGCCAAAATAACCTGAACCTGCTGAGCCCCACCCACATCGAAGTTTCGCCCTCCTCCTCTGAGAAAACCAGCTTGTACAGCCGGGCCCGCATCAGCTGCCAGCTGACCGACTCCGGGCGCAACTCCCTCTGCAGCCTCCCACCTTACGGCAGCGGCGGCGGCTACAGTCTGGCATCAGGAGAGGCCTCCGCTGGCCACCTGGAGCCCATGAAGAGCGCTCCGCCGGTCAGCGGACACGGACACTCCAACTCGGACAGCGGGCGCTCGTCCTCCAGTAAGAGCACAGGCTCCGGCTCCATAAGTGGCCGAGGTCAGCCTCTGTCGGACAGCGGGTCCAGCGGGCGCTCCCCTGGCCCGGTGGAGGGATACGAGGGAGTGGTGAGGGAGCTGGAGGACAAGCTGAGGGAGAGAGAGCTGGAGCTGCAGCAGCTCAGAGACAACCTGGATGAGAACGAGGCTGCAATTTGTCAGGTTGGTAGACAGTACAGATATTTATATTCTATTTAAATCAAGCTCTGTTGGAGAACTTGACACTGCAAACCAAACTCCTCTTTCAATGACGGGACCTATTTTTTGATCTGTAAATCCTAATGGATTTGTTGCTCATGTCCTTCGTCGCAGGTTTATGAGGAGAAGCAGAAGCGCTTCGAGCTGGAGCTGGAGGAGCTGAGGCAGGGCTGTGCCACCAGGATGCAGACGGCCTCGCAGAAGGCCCAGCGTGCACAGCAGGTGCTCCAGTTGCAGGTCAGAGCCTCCGACAAAAAAAGCTTGATCAGGTTCCACTACACACCAGTGGTGCTGCCATTTTCCTACAAATGCAGTTAAATAACAGACTGATAAGCAGTCCACAAAATTCATTTTTAATTGATTGAGAGGAAGATCATGCAGGGCGACTTCATGCATATGTAGCAGTCAAACCTCTGTAAACAAAAATATAAGTTACCAGGAATGAGTTGACTTTAGAGCAAACCATATGTGAGAGTTGCTGCCATTTGCGTACATCAATGACAGATAGAAGCAATACCAGATAGAATTTTAGCCACTTTTGACTTAGTTATGACATTCAGACGTGCGTTGATCTACCTTTTTAAGACTCGGACTTACAAGGAAATTGCTACGGTCGTCTTGTACCGACACTGGCTGTGTTCATGGCCGCAGGTTTATCAGCTCCAGCAGGAGAAGAAGAAGCTGCAGGAGGACTTTACTCAGCTTCTGAAGGAGCGGGAGCAGCTGGAGGAGCGCTGCACCTCCTTTGAGCACGAGAAGATCCAGCTGGGGCCTCGACTGGAGGAGAGCAAGTGGGAGGTGAGCGGCTCGACAGGAGTTCAGCTGAGGGACGTTTTTTACTCGGTAAAGCAATGATCACGATAAAATGAGACGGTTCGGGCTGTAAAGTTAAAGTTTATCACGGTGCCATCATTTATTGATTTCACCGTTTCCCATCCCTCCTTAAACTCCGCATCACTCATCTCACTTTAAGCACTGCACATATTATTCCTGGACTTTTTACTTCAGAGCATCAATCTGGCCATGACAGCTTCCCCATAATATATATATATTTATGGACACGTTTATGTCCCTAATTAAAAGAAATAGAATAAAACATCATGTTCTCATTCATTCACTTGATACAGGAAGTGAAAATGTAGCTGTACAGGTCTTGTGAGTGCTGATCTTTTGGAGATCTTGTTCGTGTGATAATCAGACGACTAACATTATGACAAGAAGCACTCTCATCAAGAGAACAAGCTCCAGACATGGATCAATAATGACATTGATCTTCTATGCTGTGAGAGACAAATAATATTGCCACAAGGAATCATTTCTAGAAGTCTAGAGATCTTGGAGAGTGAGTGTATTTGATCCCTGAGACTGATTAACTGAATATTTCTAACAATTTTTTTTGTCATTCTGAATTGAATCATTGGTAAGAGACGTGTTCTGTGGCTTATGACTTGCATTTAACAATTTAACGGGACGCGCAACAAAAGTAATCCTGGCCACTCTTACACACCATTCATGTACGTGAATATTAGTGAGGAGGATCCTTTTAAGTGTGCGATTTCATTTCATTAATGGATAGTTACGTGGCTGGATTATTTGGAAGAGAGAACGCCCGATTGGTAAGTAAATTAAAGTAACGGTTCAATGATTTACTTTACCTCGCTGACTTGTGAATGGAATGAAATGAAAATAACTTTCAATTGTAACCCTATTTATACTTTTGCTTTACTAAGCTGAATAAAGATCCTGGACCGTTTCTCTTCTCCCCTCAGGTCTGTCAGAAGTCGGGGGAAATCTCGTTGCTGAAGCAGCAGCTGAAGGAGGTGCAGGGAGAGTTATCCCAGCGCGTGGGAGAGATCGTCTCACTGCGGGGTCAACACAGAGAGACTCGCGGTGAGCTGACCAACACCCAGGTCCAGCTCCAGGAGGCCCACGGCACGACCCGCACGCGAACCCTGGAGCTGGAGGTGTGCGAGAACGAGCTTCAGCGTCGCAAGAGCGAAGTGGAGCTGCTCAGAGAAAAAGTGGCACGCCTCGAGGGAGAGCTGTCTCACCTCAGAGACGCGTTGGCCAATCAGGGCTCAGGAAACAGACAGTGCCAGGTGTTCCAGGAGGCAGAGGAGCACCTGCTCGCCTACGAGAGCGACGAGGCGAAGGCCCAGCGGAAGAGCGGCGCCGAGGCCCTGCAGAACATGAAGGCGCAGATGGACAGGATGAGGGCCGAGTTGGCTTTTGAGCTCCAGCGGGCCGAGCAGCAGACGGGAGGCTTCGAGGAGGAGCGCCGGATATGGCAGGAGGAGAAGGACAAAGTTATCCGCTACCAGAAGCAGCTGCAGCAGAACTACGTGCAGATGTACCGCAGGAACCGAGAGCTGGAGCAGCTCCTGCAGGAGCTCAGTCAGGAACTGGAGAGCAGAGAGGAGGACGAGGGCAGCGGCAACGAGATCAACTTTGATGAGATCGCCGCCACGGAAATTTGACCCCCCGTGTCTCTCCATCTTTTGATTTGCACTACTGTCAGCTAAATGTTGTTGTTTCCCCCCGCTACATGTCACAGATCTGATCTCTATTGTGCTGTTTAAGATGACAAATAAGCAGATATCACAAATAAAAAGACAAACATCTTTAGTGTAAAATCAGCCACACTTCAGTTCTTTTCTCCAAGGAAGCTTGAAAGCCAGTGACTTATCAGTCGTTAGTAGGCCAGCTCAGTCCTCTTCTGCCTCTCCGTTAATGTCTCTGTAACTAACTAGACATCTCTCCCATTTCATGCATTTGTGGGAGAATTTGTTATGTATGAGTAACTTCACTCAACCTTTCACTCTCCTCCTCCTGAGTTGGTCATGACTCCAACTCGCCTGCTGGGTTTAACGCCACACTCCCACTCCGTGTTAGCAGTCAGCTCTCATTAGCGCAGTTAATTTAGACGGAGCCCACGCTTGTTGTCCGCTGTTCAGCGTGTCACGATAAGAGCGAGTGAATCAGAGCCGGGTGATGATGACGCTGGATGCAAACTCATCATGACCAACAAGTAAACAGTAGATGTTTCCAAAATATGTCTACTTCCTAAATTTGTAGGGACAAAAACACTCAAATTTTCCAATCATATAGAGCACACATTTCTTGTTTTTATCAAACAAAGTTAAAGCCCTCCTTCAATTGTTCTCACATATCTTGAACAAATCATGAAAACTACCGAGTGGCTATGATATAGAGTAGTGATTTCAGACTCAACCCTGAAACCACAGCGGTTAAATGGAATTGAATCACACCTGTGTGGTGCTCCTACAGTGACATGTTTAATTGTTTTCTATTGGGTCAATCAAGGAAGCAACTGAAGCTTCTTAAATCACATTAATGCGAAACCTGTGATTTCTGCCTCCCAAAGAACTCGCAACACCAAACTGCTGCCTTCAATTCTTGTCTTTTGTTGCGTTCGCTTGCTCCTCGGTAGGTCTCTGTTTGGAAGTCGCTCTTCATGAACTTTTAAGTCTTAATGTGGAAACACAGATGCTCAAAGATGTGTTGTGTTACTCAGAGCGTATAAACAACACGCGATAGCTGTTTCCTTTCCCTAAAACCACTAAAATAATGCTTTACTGCCTCGTTGTCGGGGTTAATGCTAATAAATAACTTTTCTAACGCATCTACTATGTGGACGGAAACTAACAGTTGCAACCTAATAACATGTAACGAATTACATGTGAGCAAAAAATGTATATAATGTATGTGAATTGATTAAAAAGTTTCTTACTTTCCATCATGTTTTGTTCACATGAATTTTACCTGTCGGGAAGTCATTTTTCTAATAATTCCAGCAACACACGAATGCAGCATTTGTTACGTTAGACAAACTATAATGCTATAATAACTAGACCTTTGTGATAAACAGTGTTGAGAGTCCTCGGAAGGTAAGAATCACATTGATATTATAATGTATAAGGTATAAAACCAAATTAATATTGACTCATAGTACAGAGTATACCCTTATATCGCCCATTCCTACTGTTTTAAATTAGTTCTACTAGTCATAGTAACTTACATAAAACCAAAAGTATAACACCTGATCATCAGTGTGGGAATTCAGTGTATTTTTCCAGTAAAACGGAAATGTTTTACACTTAAGAAAACTGCTTATAAGAGGTTGATTACTGTGTGTGTGTGACAGGAAACACACACTTGTGTTTTCCCACCAACCTTCACAGCATAAGCTCCGTTTCATGTTTATTTACTTCCCCGTACGACAGAACCGAGAGAAAACTGACTTTTTGTTCCTCCATCACTGCCGATTGAACCGTCGTCCTCCGTAAATAACTGACCAATCGCAACGGTTTCTTCCTGGAGGTGTCGGTCCATCTCAAAACAAATACAAGCAGAGCCACTGTGAATAGACCAAAGCAATGTCGCACATTATATGTTGCTCCTACAGATACCTGTGTATTAATGTTTGTGTGGATGTTTGTTCTGGTTCCTCAGTATCATTTTATAATCCACAATATTTGTATGAAGACATTAAATGTATATTTTCATGCTGTATATCTGTTGAACAAACCTACAATGCTTTTAATTAAAAAAAAGACATTTCAAAGCTGTGTGGTACATTCAGATTTGTTCTCTCCGGTTCTCTTTGTAACACAATGATCGTAATTCTCTCCGATGACGACGTGGGTTAATTGTTCTCATCTCCTTAACATTGAGTCGATGTTTTAAGGTTTGTGGTTTAGTGAAGCCTTCAACACATCCGACATTAGAGAGCAGAAATGTTTCTGAACATCTCACGTCGCCCTCTGCAGGTCAAAATGTAAACTTTGAGTCAACAACATGGAGCTTTTAAAAAGGCAAGCAGGTTACAGTGCGTCATCCTGCATATTTAAACAAACACTGCTGCACTACTGCTTTTGAGAGGATGTTAATGCATAGAATGTTTTTTGAGAGCCATTTGTTCCTGGATTGTAATAAAGTGAAATTTAAGGCATCAGGAGCACCATATTTTGATGATTTCTGGATACAAATTGAATTTACTGTAAATGTCTTGTTTACTTTGAGTAATTCCATGACAATATTCCTCTCATATAGTCATTCATGTGCATAATCCTCAAGTCCTGTGATCAGCTTAGTTGCTCAACACTCACCAGAGTCCATGTAATTATTCCCAACTTGAACACGAATGGCATACCTGACCTCAGATCAGTGTGTTCAGGCCGTCTCCGTGTTTAGTCCCAGAAGCTAAATCACAGAGCGCGAGTCTAAAGTCACGACCGTAGTCTCAGTCTCCTTTCAAAATGTTTTTCGGGACTTTGACCACGAACACCATGGGGTCTTTGGCCTTGTGGCTGAAGGCTTTCCGGATGACGTCGACAGCGTGCAGATGGGTTACGCCCTGCAGCGAGACTTCGTCCACAGACACCAACTCGAATCCAGCCTGGGGACACGAGAGGGAACGTCAGATACAGTGAAAGATAAAACAAATGGAGTAAAGTGCAAACATTCAGACAGCGTGTTAATGAGATGTAAAATAAAACCCACTGAATAATTATATGCTCGAAGGTACTGCAGAAATGTGATATAATAAAACATACTGGTTTTCCATCAGTCATGATTGTGTAATGTATTAAATGACATTCTACATGGTATTAAAAAGTCTTACCGTGCGTTCCAATACACATACTAACAAACTATTTAGTATGCAAGAAAAATATTTAGAATGACCCTTATAAATAATATGTAAAATGCAGTATGTCAAAAATACCAGGAGGTTCTACTGCATTGCTTTTCTGGCTATTTTGACCCACAATCCTTTGCGCAGCAGTTCAAAATTCAAGGTGCCATGTTATGAGGAAGTAACATGTCCCATACATGCATACTGCGTGCAACATGTACGTACTTTGTAAGAGCAGCTGTAATATGTACAAAAAGTGAAAATAAAGAGTATTTGAACTATAACGCAGCTAAAGATTTAGATTCAGGGTGTACTCAGCGTCGCCTCACCTTGAGCACTTCACAGGTGGAGGCAGCTCCTCCAGGAAAGATCTTCTCGATCTTCACCACCGGCTGAACCTTCGACTCCATCCCGCCAGATATACTGATGCCTGAAACACCAGAACACACAGGAGTGGGTGGGAGTCAGTGAAGCAGCTTATATTTGTGTACCGACAGAACACCAGGTGTTCCACAAGCACTGGTTTAATATGTAAGGAGGCAAAGAGAGGAGATGTTGTGCAGCTGGTATTTTTGCATAATTTTTCATTAACATTAAGAAGAAATACAAGAGCCAAAATGGTTTACAAATACGCTTTTTAAATCTGTAGTAACTATCATTCCCTTTATTTAAAATCATATTTTCTCACTCTTTTCTGGTATTTAGTTAGTGGATAGTTTTGGCTTGATTTGTGCAGGTTTTGACACGTGTGTCTCAAAGATTTCTGCCGCCAATTTCATTAATGGTGCCCACAAAAATAACAGAAATGTGTCCCTGTAATCCAGACACAACAATGTGAACAGGTTTATAGGGACTACTTCCTCAATACAAAGTAGTTCTTTAATAGAAAGCATTCATGAATATTTCATATGTTGCTGCGATTTATCATCCCACTCCGGCCTATATAATTTTATCATCTGGTGTTTTATCATCTGTGTTTGTTTTTATTTGCATTTGTCTTTATCTACTGTTTTTTTCCTATAAAGAAAAGTAAGAAAAGTGCTATTTATAGACAGGTGGGTGGAGGCATTAAACAGAACTTGCATGTTTATCATTTGGGTGAACTGACCCTTTAAATGTTGACAAATTGTACATATTTATGAGATGTTTCTGGCCTTAAGTCAATCCTATACATTTACCCAGAGACTGTTTGGTCTTGGAGATGCTGACTGTTTTGAGCTCGTACTCCTGTTCAGGCTCAGAGCCGTTGAGTCCGTTCTCAGAGGCCTGATGCCCGTTCATCTGCTCGCTCCCGACTCGCTGACCTGGACTCGTTCTGAACACCTGCGACAACGAGGGCCGACTCCTGCGAGCAGCGCTCTGCAGCGTGAACACGGTTTCTTTACTCCGGTCTCCACTTCTCTCCTTTTTCCCTTTGGAGTGGCCGTTTCTAAACGGGGACCTTCCCCTCTCTGAGGTCGTGTCTGAGGTTGAGTGAAGTGAAACCTCGTCGAAGTGGACAGAGCGAATGGTGCCGATGTCTGTCCGGAGAGGAGGACGGGGGTCCGGGCCGCGGGCCAGCAGCCAGTTGGGGAGCATGGCGCTGGCAGAGGGGGGTCGGAGGTCTGTGTCGTATCCGTCCACTGGTATGTCCAGCAGCGGGGTGAAGAACCTGGAGGGACGGGGCCTCTGCCCGGACCCCCGGGGCCCAGACACGCTGAGCTTCTCCAGCTCATCCAGTAGGTGGCTCTCCTTCTCCACCTCCTCAGCATTGTGGAGCTCAAAGCCTCCTCTGAAATCTGGAGGGAAACCACAGGTAGTATTTACACCTTCTTTTACAACATGTGCACTTGTACTCAGGCTGTGGTTCAACATGGTTAGTGTAGAAGCCCATGTTAAATTATGCATGACAGAAAAGATCTAAGGTATAATATTCAAATCAAAGATACAAAGACATGCTTTTCAGAGAATATCAAAACACAAAACTAAAATCCAAAACTACATCAAAATGAAGCACTGACCCGGGATGGGAGTGATGAGGCGCCGCTTGGGTGCTCGACCGGATGTGGGTGAGCGAAGAGGAGGAGTTTGGACTACAACACAGAGAAGAAGAAGAAGCGTAACTTGAACTGTTCAGAGCCGAGTCCATGTGATCAGACTGATTGTGACAAATCCAGCATGCTTCACACGCACTTGAACGATACTTGAGGATGTCGTAGGCCTCGACTTCGACAGGTGTCACCATGTTATTGAATGCACTCAGATCAGGAGGAGGAAGCAGCATCCTGAGGAACAGGACAGCAGCAAAGGAAAAAAAAAGACGCCGAGTCATTTTCATCGTTGTGTTTCATTACAAAACATTTTGAATTAAGTCATCAGTGTGGAACATTTGGAGTCGAGAAAGATTATCCTGAAAAATCCTTAATCCCCTTCTGGCAGTATTTGTAAAACCACAGTTTCTCTGGCTGCATTTTAGGTAATTTAAAGTTACTATAAGGAACTTTCATTTTGTGTTGATTTTGTGGTAGTGTTTCCGAGCACCAGAATCCCTTTAGAAAACCTCATTTTACTGCAGAAGGGTTCTGACGGTCTGCTACGCTCAGTCCTCGTTCTGGTTCTCCCGTGCCTCCTTTCCCTCCAGTGGGCCCAGCAATAGGTCCTGGGTCTCCAGCAGCGTGGTGTCGGTGTTGGCTCCCAGAGAGGAGAAGCTCTGCTCCTGGCCAGAGGAGGAGGAGGAGGAGAAACAGCTGCTGCTAGGAGCTGAGCTCTCCTCCTCACACCAGAGCTTCCAACTGCAGGTCTAAGGCTGCAGAGAAGTCAGATCTGGGTCTGTCCACGGTGGACTGGCTGCTGCCATTTCTGATGAACGTGCATGATTTCGTCTGATTTTGCGCGGAATCCGACCCGGTGGCACCGATGACAAGCATTAAGAATAACTATAGAAATAGACAATCTTAATTATTACCGGACTTCCCTCAGCAGCAGCAGCTTCTCCGGTCGGTCCAGCACGGCCAGCAGGTGGCGTATCAAGTTCTCCACTGACCGCTCTGCCACGTACTGTTGAAGAGTATGAACAACAATTTAGTTATCCGGTTGGCAATGACTTGATGTGTGAAATATATTGCGTGATAAAAACTGTCAACACAGACTCGTCTACACGGGCAGCCTAAAGGTCAGCACATCCTTAAAGCTACAACAGTCCGTCTGCAGCTGTGAAAGCTTCTCACCCTTCGGCACGTCTTCATCACAGCAGCCACCTCCTCCTCGGTCAGCAGCCGGCGGGCCATGTCCTCCACCGCTCCCAGCATCTCTGAATTTGGCATCGCACTGACCTGACGTCCCCCTGAAAACATCACAGGGGCAGTCCAGCTTAATAGGAGTAAATGATGTTACCGACGGGCATGCAGCAGTTACAGTCTGAATAAATCTGCTCTATCGGTGAATAATTGAACCAGCCTGTAAAGATCTTTACTCACTTCTCATAAAGTGTATGAAACTGTTCAGCACAGAAGGATTCACCAAGCAAAATTGAATCTCACATTTTTAGTGTGTATTAATCCGCATCTGAAAATAGTCCCCAACAAATGCACTATTTTCTCTCATTCGAGTAATGTTTGATTAAACACTAGAGTGCCCAGCTGTTCTAGGGAAGTGAAACTGTGTTTTAAGATGAACATCTTCAGGAGTGAAAGGTTTTGGTGCCCGACGGGGAAGGCTGTTGGTTTTAGTCCTTTCATGGGATCTGTTGAAAATATAGAATAATGTTTGAAGCTGTAACCTTTTGTAATCCTATGTGTTCTTGTTTACTTGTGTGATTGTCTTCATAGCACAAACGTGCCAGCGTCTTCTGTGGGCAATTTAGAGAATCATCTAATTACTGTTCAAACTAAGGTGGGCATGTTGCAACTTAAAAGCATGTTCTAGACGGATAAAAGCCGCTACCTTTGCCGGCCTTGCTTGTGGACGGGGACTTGGAGCGGCCCTTGGAAGTGTCCCTCTTGCGTCCGCCCTTGAACAGCAAGTTGACGAAGGTCTTCGAGCGCTGCAGCGTGCTCTTCTCCTCCGGCTGCTTCCCTTTCTGCTTCTTCTCTTTCTTCTGCTTGATCTCTAAGGCGATTGGACAGCAACGGTCGGCCATTTGTGCAAAATTTCAACCGTGTCATGTTTTGGATGTTACTCGCTCTCCGCTCGCCTCACCTGCCACGGTGACTTGGCTCTGGGACCTGCTGATCGGTCGGCTCGGTCGGCTGAGAGCCAGCAGCACGGCCGTCTTGGTGGACTCTTGCCTCCCGCTGCCCTCCCCGTGGATCACCGTGTCTCTGAGCAGAGTGGTTCGTCCCAGGCTGCAGGTGGTTTCTGCAGCCGTCCTCTGAGAGGGAAGGTCCGTCTGCATGGCGGTCTCAGTTCGGCCTGACTCCAACCTGGACAGATGAACAACTAAGTATGCACATGTTCAGCTTTTTCAAGGCCTATAGCGCAAGATAAAAGTTCTACGTTGTTTCGGTCTAGTGTTTCTTGAAATCTCTGAACACAAAGACGCCGACCCTGACCTCTGGTCCTCAGTAGAGATGCAGACATCCACCATGTCGGACCCAAACGGCATGCTGGGAGGGAACATGACCTGCGACAGGCCGCTCAGAGAGCTGACCGGCGTCCCGGATGACAGAGAAGAGGCGGAGGAGTTGGATTCTGACCCCTGGGAGGAAGATTTCTGAGTACCGTTGGCGACTGAGGAAAAGAAAACAAAGAGAACGAACTCAAATGGATCCAAGCGTGTCACTGAGTGTCCTGTGATCTTCACAGACTCTCAGATGGAGCCTCACACAGACCAGATAGCTTTCAGCATAATGAAAACAGATACATACGCTTATTGAGCCACCTGTATTCCGCCACCATCTCTTTATAAGCAGGGTATCGTCCTGCTTCCTGTGAAGATATGGCCACAGATATGCAAATGAGATACAGTAGAGACCTTGAAACTTTTATAGGATCGCTATATTTGATAAAGCGTAACCTTAGAACCACACACACACACACACACACACACACACACACACACACACACACACACACACACACAGCTCTTCCTCCTCAAAGAGAAAACACATTTGCCTTCTTGACTTTCTGGTAACCTTTTGATCGTCGGGATGCTTTCTTACTCTTTAGTTTCCTCCGGGGCAAAGCGAGGGATCCCGCAACAAAAACTTAACACGGCCCCAAGCTTTGATCGGCACCTGATCCCAGCCGCCTGGTGAATAATGCACACGGCCCGGCTATTTCTCACAGCGAGAAACCCAAGCTCCGACAAGTAGAGTGAGCGAGGGAATATTACGGCTGCATGCCAGCTGTTGGGCCCGGCCACACTAACTGCCGCTGTGTGTGTGTGTGTGTGTGTGTGTTTGGTGACACGGCTTGTGGGGGGTTTGTGTTTGTGAGATAATTAAAGATGAAAAGGTTGTAAAGTTAAAAGTGTTGTTGGGTCGTCCAAACCGAGGCGGTAATCAAAGAATCGACAAGTTTTCTAACAACAAAGAGTCCTTAAATGTGTCCTTAAACACTGAACTCAGCAGCAAACATTCAGCTGAGACATCTTCACTTTTACAAACACGTTATAAAAGATGAAAGCTCCCACTTTACCCATGTACCAAAGCATTACAGACATCAGATCTTCTGTTATTATTCTATCAAATTTGATTCATTTTACCTTCTGGAAAACAGTTTATGTTCGTGATGTAATTTTTTTGCTTCATCTATTGGTTTCTCAGTCAAAACTTGTGTTTGTGTTTTGTTTTGTCTTATTTTTGGCTTGTCGGTCGTCTGTGAAGCACTTTGACCTGCAGTAACCTGTATGAAAAGTGCTGTACAAATAAAGTTTGATTGATTTAATGATGAAGACTTCTGACCATCATTCATTTTTTTAAAATGAGCAGAAAATTCTCTTGACAGCGTAGATGAGAAAACTTTTTTGTGAGCTCAAGATTTTACACAAAAGCATTTCTCAAATAACTTCTTCAGGTTCTATTTAAATTTACTCGTGCAACGTCTGAAGAGCAGTTTTCTTGCAAGTATGATTTAAAAAAAAAAAAAAAAATTTCTTGAAAATAATGCAGAAATCAACATTTTTGAACCATTGGCTCTTGTGTTAAAGCAATAAAAACTTGTATAACCTTGATGCCAGACTTCAGGAGCTCCATATTTTCCTCATGTCTGCTACGGAGGATCAAATGCTGCACATCGCCGCTCTCACCTTGATGGTCAGCATGACGTGCGTGTGGCTCTTCAGCACCTCCACAGCACTACTGTGGCTGATGTCCTCAAAGCTCACGCCATTGGCAGCCAGGATCTGGTCCCCCATCTTTATCCCATTCTGCTCAGCCAGACCACCAGGATCCAGTCTGAAACCAGCACACAGAGGTGAGTGAAAACGCTGCTTTCACACCTGTAGTATACATGTTGATTTGCATTAAAAGGTTATATACATGGACTTTTACAGATCAATAGATCGCTTCCTGATCAGATTTCACGTTCAGCAGATGGATTTATTAGTAGTTGAGCTTTTGAAATCATGCTACAATCGGATATTTGCTATCTTAAAATCATGTGGTTGGTTCGTTTGCTTTCACACCACAAACCAACCACACCAGAGTCCACTTGGAGGCAGACCGGGACCTTTTTCAAGCGGTCTAGGTTTGGTTGTTGGTCCGCACCCGGGTTTGATTGACAGCTGTCACAGCAGCCCATACAAACCGGACTCCGAACACTCCAGAGTTACAGAGTTAAGACAAACAGGTTTGGAAGAGATCATTTAATGACTAACTGTTCTTAGACAGAGAAAATGAACATGGTGTAGAAGAGCCTGTATTCCACGGCGGAGGTACCTACTTGGAGACATAGATGCCCAGACCAAACTCCTTCCCCCCCCGGATGTTGAAGCCCAGGCAGTAGTCGTCGGAGGTGGTGGAAAGGTGGACGATCCTTTGGAGGGCGCTCCCCGAGCTGGCATCCGAAGGTGTCCGTCCGCTCTCCTCCACCACCATACGCCTCTGTATCAAATCCACCCTGGAAGATTTCCCCACAGTCGGTCAGAATTTGTTTTCTTCTCGATAAAGGGAAGCTAATAAAGATTCAGCAGTAATAGCTCCTTCATCACCAGGTAGTCTTCTCCTTGGAGTAGCGGATGCCGGGGACTTTGCCAACACGCCTCACCACCATCCTCAGCCTGTTGTTGCCCGTCAGGACCTTCACAGCGCTGCTCATCGTGATGCTCTCCAGGCTGACGCCATTCACCTCCACCAGTTTATCCCCTACGAGCAGGCTGGCCTCCTCTGTGAACACACACACACACACACACACACACACACACACAGGAGTGTGAAATCACACACAAAGTCACAGACAGTGTCCGTGTCTAGCTGGTCAGTGTACCTGCTGTGCTGTTGTCCTCCACCTTGCTGACGAAGATGCTGAGGCCGTGCTCTGAGCCTCCGCGCACGCTGAAGCCCAGCTTGCCGTCCACACTCTTATCCACTGTGATCGTGTGGAGGTCCTCGCTGTCGTCGCCACCTAAAACAATAACATCACATGGATGCTGCGTCAATACGCCAGTAATGGTCACAAATATCAGGGGGAAAGTCCTGTATTATAGTTAGCAATGTCAGTCAAGCAGGAATCTGACAATTCATAACATACAGCAGCAGTTCTCTTTCTTCTTTCTACACAAACGTAAATATTCTCTTTCATTTCACATCTGTGGGAAGTGAGACGTCACTTTTAAGGACCTGCTCCCTGTGTGGATATAAATGGCTCTTTCTAAGCGAACAGAAAACACAATGATTCTAATTCATAGCATACGTACATTCTGTGTTTGTAAAATATTTACTTTGGTTGGAATGTGAACTTTATTTTGTATTTTTTTTATATATTTTGTATCTTTTTTTACATTTCTTATTTCTTAACAAACAACGATATGTTGTATTCTATGAATGTTGAGACACATTTCTTGTCTCACATTATGTTAATGACGGCGTTATCGTCTCAGGTTTTCGTGATTTGTCACCATTTTTCAATGCTGAACCCCTTCTGTTCTCAAAAGATCAGGTGACTGTAATGCAGATGTACGATATTAGTGGGTCTCAACTGATCCAGGCCTACATTTTCGAAAATAAATACCCCGTTCTTTGTCTGCCAGCCTTATGAACCAGACTAAACCAGTATTTTGTCTCCAGTATAGGTTGTAATGTGCACGACACAACAAGCAGCCAGCACAACTCCTCCTTACCGTCCACAGGGTAGTTGATGAGGATGACCCGGCCCATGGGTGAGCAGGATCGGATTCCTCGCCGCCGCTGCTCCTTCTTCCGTAAGAGGTTGCGTGCAGCCGTGTGTGACCCTTGGGTCCCGGGGGTCTTCTCCCTGCGGGACGGGTCTGACGAGTGAGCCATGGAGGCTGGCGGGGTCCCGTTTCACACTCGCTCCTCCAACGGGGGCTCAGCTCCGGGCGGAGGAGCCTGCAGAAGGAAAGGGGATCCTCAGCCGATTTGTCCGCTGTGTTCCCGGCACACTGACACCAAATTATGGTCACATTTTGCTTTTTCCCTCTTCCGGATGATCCAACTCACCGATGCAGGTCGCTTTGTGACATGACAGCTGACTCTTTGGCTTCCTGGTGTCACACTTTGGTCCATTCCCGCCCATGTTGCATCTCTCTCACCTGTCTGAGTCTCACAGAAAAAAAACGAACAGCAATGCATGAACACATAAAATATCTATAGTCCCTACAACTCACTTCACATTAAGTCCATTCAGTTATATTGTAATTTGTCTCTGCGGGTGAGGTTAGAAATAGGATTTAATAGGTTTATTTAGCTCAGACCTGACCCACTTAAGAGTCAGGATGTCACGTGGTGCTGCTGCCTTGGTTACCTGTCACTAAACTTAACCCGTGATGACAGCGTGTCCTCATGTCGTCACCTCGGGGTTTCCCCCAGGAGTCTCAGGGTGCTTCAGCACCCCGGACAGCGACGTTAAAATGAAAAGCGTACAAGGCTGCGTCACAATCACGGTGGTGACTTTTAACGTATATTTATAAAGAGCAGGATGGATTTAATCTTTGCAACTTCTGCGTTTTATTCCAACACGCGGGAACAAATGAAGACTTATCTCGCCCAAAATACACAACAAAGCTAAATACTTACCGAACATCTTACGTTTCAAGCGGAGTTCACAATGCAGACAACAGGCAGCTCTTCTCATGTATTCTGCTTAAAAACTACCGGACAACAGACACCAACCGGAACAGCACTTTGACAGGAATAAACAAAAAGTGTTTCTCTTAAATTCATCCCGTGTTCTGCAGGTGAACTAAACTCAGCACGTGGGCCTACCTGAGTCCGTGTTGTGCAAAATGATCCATCGCACCTGGCTGCGATATTTCTGTGACCGGTAACAAGGCCCGCCCCCCCGGCTATGTCGATTGGCTGCATTGAAGTTAACTGGGGGTATTTGATTGGACGATTTATATGCCGCTCGATTGACAGCGTGTCAGGACTTTCAGACAGAAACAGTCATTACTTTCAGATTGCGGTGCAAAATGAATGCAACACAATGCACACAAATTAATTCTATGTTTATTAAATGACTCCAATAAGTAAAGCATTTATCATATTTATTTTTATTGTAGTTTGAGATGGCTTTCAGCATCAGGTCTGCCTCTAAAACAGATACAATCACTTCCTTAAATCTCATTTATATTTATAAAAATAAAAAATATTGTATCAAATCTGACCAATTCTCTTTCTCCAGGATTGAAGAAAGATCAGTTTTTGTCCCAAAATCCCTTCTCCCTCTATCCAGTCGTACACTCTGACTAGGAGGGAGACGTCAGTGCAACTTCTGAGAAAATCTACAGTTTCTTCTCAATCAGAGACAAACTTTGATCAATAAATACTAAATGTGAAAGAGAGGCCCTGCAGGAAACCAGACTGCTGGCTCTGAAAACTCCCCCAAGTGGACTTCAGATGATTTTTGTCTCAGGAAGTCCAACAACATCTGAACATGCAGTGAGTAATATTAAAAACAAACTAGAGCACAAAGCCGTGTTTTATTGGTCAAAGGTTTCTTAGCTCCCAAGATAACAACAGTATCACAGAGTAATACAGGAAACTGAGTGTAGGCATCAGATCTGCTTCCTCTGTTTGAGTTTAAAGACAGACCGTCATTAACACACTCAGCCTCTTACTACACAGCAAAACCCCGAAATGCATCATGGTTTTCCCCGAGACCAGTAAACCAACAAACACAAATCTAATGTGCACTTTCGTCAAACATTTATATGATCCTTCGTACAGCTGGATGTCGCTTCTATGTTCTAAACTTTGTGTTTTACTGATATGATATTTTTATCCTTCAGGGGTAATAAAAAGCATTATTTCCTCTCTAAAGGCAGAAGTTCTGGTGATGATATTCTTCTGGCAGCTCGGATGACAGCTTCAGTGTTGACTTTATCTCCAAATTCAATCTCCCTGTGCTCCAGAAGAATTCCCTGTGAGAGGATAATAATAAATAAAAAAAAAAAATAAAAAAGGGCGGGGTATTACCTGCATTTAATTATAAAACTGTGACAAAGTTTGACCGTAGGAGGTTTTACCTGCTGTCCTCGTCCAATGACGAAGACCCCACCGAGGACAAAGCCCTCTCCCAAAACGTTTCCCATGAAGCCCTTCCTAAAGGCCCGCAGGCCGTTCATCCACACTCCGACACGCAGGAACGCAAGGAGACCCATCTTCCGCTCACGGGGCCCATAAAAACGCCTCTGCAATGCAAGCAGACAAACGAGGAGCCTTGAATCATTCATGCAGACCTAAACGGATTTGCCGCAGATCGTGAATGTCTCAGTATCAGAGGAGAGGGGAATGGACCACACAATACACCGATTCATTAGGAGGAAAAAATAACAAATCCACCTTTTCATCCAAGAAGATCTCCCCCTTGAAGTACTGTCTGAAGTTCTGGACCTCGGTGCCGACGTCCTCCTTCACCACAGCGTACAGAGGGACCCCGAGCTCTTCCAGCTCGGGCTTCAGAGAGGACAGCTCTGCAGCCTCCTGCAGCCAACAACATCATCACCGTGTATGTGCTACAAAACACACTGCACATAAACAGACCTACTCTACTTGTAAATGTCAAGATGTTTTATGATACTGGTTGTATTTTTATATAACTTTAAAAAGGTTTTGTTTCAGTTGCCATTTCTTAAGGTTCCATTTTATTGCCCATTTTGTGTGGTTTCTTCTTCAGCTCGTTTTCATAATTGATCGAGTGTGTTCATATTGTTGTGCATCTTGATGTCCTCTTGGAATTTAGTGCTGTGGTGGCATTATGCCTTTCATAAGACTTGTGACTCCTATTATTGTTGCTGTGTGGGGGATGGGGGACCGAGCTAGTTTCCCCCTCTGAGGATTAACACAAGTTAAATGTGGTGTGATAATCACAAATGTGTTGCACAAATACAAGCAGAATGGGAGCTTTAAAAACCTCTTAAAGCCACCGGTTGATGCTGGCTCAGTCATTAACCAACTCATGCCATGCAGCATTAAACACCGTTCAAACCCACAGAACTTTAACAGTTGTAGTGGAGATCCCAAAGTTTCCAAAGACACCAAATGTGTGAGGATGGATTTGGGGTAAATGTTTATAAAATCATGCAGAAGACACAAAACATATTTCCATTTGATGGAGTGGTGAAGAGAAAAGAAAACTACTGTGAAGGATCCATATGGGTTATTAATCCCTTTTCATGAAGCAAATTCATAAAACATTTAGTCCTAACGGGAGAGCGCTGGACATGCATGACATGACATTACCTCTCTGCACAAAAATCATCCAGGTCTCCGCACTGCCATGATGACAGCCCCGGACCTCTCCCACAGAGACCTCGCTTTCAGGGTCCGTGTGTCTGAGCGAAGAAATGAGGCGAAAGGGTGAAAAGAGTTGAGCCACAGAATAAATGCATTCCAACGGAACAACCACTCCTTTCAGCACACAGACGCACATATTCATGAAATAACTCACATAACGTCTTTGGAGAATAAAACCAAAGTTACCTCCTTTCAAAGTTTTCAGTTCGGCCTCCTCCAAACGCTCGAGTGTTGCCTTCAGCGGTGGAGTCAGAAAAATGTCGGTTAAAAAGTTCATCACACCGGTGATGAGGCCTACGACTGCAGCCACAGCGCTGCCTATTATTCCCATCTCCATGTCTCTTCTCTGCCCCGTTCAATGCATCTCCTCCTCAGCGGCTCCTCTTGTGAACGCACCGCGGATGAACGCGCATTTAAAATGCCAGCTGCAGTGATTAAGCGCAGCTGCGTCTGATAAGCGACGCCGTCATAGAGTCTGCGGCGGTGAAGGCAAACTGCAGATAGCGACAAAAATAAATAAACACAAAACAGTCATTATGGCCCGACTCCTGCAGATCAAAGGTTACTGGAGGAAATGTGCACCGTCATTCTCCCAAAATATCTCACAATGTGGAAATGAAAGTCACAGTGTTGCAATCTGCATTATTTGAAAGAAGAAGCAGTGGATTCATCTGTTCTGATTTAATCAAACAATGACTTCACAATTTTGGAACCGATACACAAAAATAAGACTGATGAATACAAGTATTGGTGATAAATGTTTATTCATTATTCTTACATCAAACTACACACATGCTGCAGCCATAAAATCATTTAGACTTTTCGTAAAAGAAGGATCATCAGACGACACTGTTGATCACTAATGATCTGCTTCTTCATCTTCCTGAAAAGCAACACAACACAATTTTTTACAATTCATTCAACACTGAAACGCTAAAAATGACACCTGTCTGATGTGTACAAACAGTTGTTTGTGGGATATTTTTAACCTTATAAACATAAACCATTTTGTCCATGATTCATCTACCTTCGTCTACCTGGATGTGGTCTGCATCAGGAGGAGGGTTTTCAGGCTCCTCTTGTGGTCTCTCGCTGGACACTGTCTCCTCTACTGTTACGTCACCGTCAGCTGGAGCCGAGCTATCAGTGGTCTCAGGTGAGCGTTGCCCGTCTGCCACCTGAGATGAGGCGGACAGAACAGCTCTGGTTAAGCATTAAACAAACGTGTCTTTGCATTTATATCTCTTGATTCTGTTGGCCGACTGTCTACAGCTGCCTCCCTCTGGACTTGTTTTTGTTATTTGGTGAGGATAAGATAATAACAATCAGACATCAGAAATGTAAAGAATTAGTATCTGCCTTTTTTCACCCTGACTCCTGTATTTTCTTCACCTGAACAGACGTGAAATTCAAGGTAGAATGAACATCCTCTTCCTCTCCTCAGCTGCTGTTTTCTGTCGTCATCTGGCCTTTAAAGTTTAATCTATCGTCAGCTGACTTTGCCCTCAAATCTTCTTCTATCTATCATCTGTCCTCGCTCTTTATCCTACATCTCTCGCATCCTCAACCTAAATCCTCATGCACGGAGCCATTACTTCATCACCTTCTCTGCGTCTCCAGGGGCCCGAGGGCTGTGTTTGTCGTGCAGCTCTTCTGGCCTTAAGTCATCAGCGTCTTGGCTGGGAGTCGAGCGTAATGCTTCAGTTGGGTCAGCTTCTTCAACCACCTGCAGAGATGTGCGAGATGGAAAACATAAGTAAGTGTTTTGCCATCAGTGTTGAACAGTTAACCCCCTATGGCTACTTTTTCATTATCTGTTTCATCCGTTGTATATCGTGGTACTGAAATGGTATAGATGTAATTTGGCCACAAAAAGTGTCTCATCACCTTCTCTGTATCTTCGTCAACGTCTTTCTCTTCTATCTGATTGGGGGTTGCAGTTTTCTCTTCCACACGACTGTCACTCGCCTCCACCTCTGTTTTCTCTTCTTCCACTTTGTCTTTTTCATCAGGCATTTCTGCAGACTCCTGTTTGACCTCGGTGCTGAGGGCCTCGGGGAGGGAAGAGATACCGGCCTCAGCAGGTTTTCTCTCGGGCAACTCTGGACTGGGCGCATTATCTGTAACCTTCACCCGGCAGACACACCACCTCATTAAACCATTTGGTGGATATTTCCACAACACACAAGGCGAGTCATGCATTTGAGAATAATCAGAAAAGACCTCATCACGAACATGAATCAAACCCAAAGATCAAAATCAAACCACTGAAGTGATTGCAAAAGATCAGGGGCACCACCACCACCAGAAGCACACAGATTGTTTTTTATCACCTGCGGTTCAGCTTCCTTTTGCTGAGCTTCAGTTTGGTGTTCGTCTGTGTCCCGCTGGTTTTCTGGTTCAGAGGGTTTTGGTTTCTCTTCTGCCTCAGGCGTGTTGTCCTCAGCAGCTCCTGTTGTGGCTGACGTGGGCTCATCATGCTTCTCAGAGATCTGTTGATGTGACGATGTTAATGTGCTCTTAAAGGATTGTTGCTTAAGATTTCATGTAAAGTGTGGAAAAGATGTACTCCAAACAGATCATATGTAGTACATCAAAGTGATGACTGAACATAAAATGAACATCTCAAAACAGGGACAGTATCATCATTCGGCTTCTAAAGACTAATTAAAACAAATTAATATCTGTCCAGCAGAACAATAGAGCTGGGTTAGAAGGAGGTTTAGATAAACAAAGGTAAATGGAGGTTCCGTTACATTAGCTCTTTGTAATCACAGTCTAAGTTAAAACAGATATTGTGTCACACAGCATACTTTTGTTTTTGACTCTTCCAAGGCCTCACTGATCTTTCGCTCCTCCTCCCTCAGCTTCTCCTGGTGCAACGCCTCCTCTCTGGCCTTCGCCTGCTCCTGCAGCAGGAGCGCCAAAGTGGCCTTTTTCTGCAAATAAAAAACGTATTACAACAACAAGGTCTGTGAATGAGAAAGAGGGTCCAACTACACAGTTTTAAGCCCCCTTAATACCTGTAGTTTTACCAAGAAAACAACACCTTTTAAGGCGTTTAATTTGTAAGCACCTGAGGGAGCCATAGATTTGCAGTCCAAGCTAAAGGTAAAGGGTGACTTCGTGTTTAGCCACAAGCTTTACAGCGCTCAGATTGAGGAGCTTAGACGGTCTAAATCTGTATTATCCTTTACCGCAGTCCTCAAAACCTGAAGATCAGGGTTTGAGGTAGTAGTGGCAGTAAAGGTATGAAGTATAGCGGTTTAATAGCTAGCAATTTTCTCTATAAATGCATTGTGCTTAGTGTTAGTTCCATCATATCTTACCTCTTTTATATGATTGTTTTTATTCTATATTATTGTTGATTCCATTTTATTGTTGTATTCTTTGCAGTCCTGAAATGTTTGAGTCCTTGTTCAACCATGTAATGTACTTTGGTGCTGTGTTTTTAAAAGTACTACATGAATAAAGTAAAGCTTACCTCCGTCTCATGTACAACATTTGAGTTGAACTTGTAGAGCCAGTGGGCCAGGTACTGGACGGGGTTCACAGGACGCTGCTCGGCCACCTCAGCCAGTCCGTCTGCCAGACATTTACCCAAATGTGTCTTTATATACTCAGAGTCCATGTTTTTAATCTGCGTGAACAACCGAAACACAACTTAAATTGACTTTGTGAATATTGTAAACGTTCATACTGAATGAAAAGTGAGCTGATTTTTTTGTTACCTTAATATTAAGCGCTACAGTATATATATTTGTATTTGTTACTGTGTATTATTTCTATCGTGGGCGAAATCTAACAAGTTAATCTAACCAATTTAGCAACAAAACAAGGAAATCGCCAAAACAATCCTTCTTCACGGATCGTCCGGATGTATCGGTTGTGTCTTCATGGTAACGGTGTCACGCTAATGCTGCCCTCCGTTCTTTAAAAGTGGTTCCTACTACCGTCAAAACAATGTTGATATTACTACTACTACTAGCCTACTATTACTACTATTACTACTACTACTACTACTTCCACAACTTCTACTACCACTTTTACAAAGGCCAGCGCCACTTTGACTGTTCCGCCTCCCCCTCCAGAGTGGTATGTTCCGCCTCTCCAGGACCACAGAGAAGTTGTTCTGACTTCTAATTTAGCTCCAAAACACGTGCTGCTGGCTTTGTTTTGACTGCTGTGTGGGTCCACGTACTTACAGGTTGTAAGTACGTTAAGTTATATATTATTATGATTTATGCACAGCATGTTCATCACTTGTGTTCTGTCATTACTCATTTTCAAACAGTTGTGCTGTTGTATTCATATTTGTCAATAGCCTGCAAGTTTAGTATGTATTTAATATGTCCATAAGTTAGTATTTGTTGTTTTCACAGTCTTTAGTCATGTTATCCAGTGTGTTATATAAGCAGACAGCTTGATTGTTAATTGCTGTCAGCTGTTCACTTTAATGGGATGATTTAGTGTTGGTAGCTGGAACCATTGTGGCCTCATGGTTCCACCTTGTGGTAGCTACTGACAATGTCTGTGGTTTTTATTTTGTGTTTAAGTTCTCCTTTTTCAGAAACACATACTCACAAACTAAATCTATATTCCTGTACACTCTGTCTTGCAAACTCAGCTCAAGTTTATTCTAACTGGAAATTCTACCACTACATCTACTACTACTACAACTACTACTCGGTTAAGAACTGATGTCTTGGTGTTGTTGATGATTTCATTATGTGGTCTAATGTGTTATGTGCAGTGACTCTGAGGATTCATTTGTTTGAAAACAATACAGTTGAGGAAGCTGGATTTGTTCTGGTTGTCTGAATGAGGAGATTTCTGCCTCAGCAAGATTTATAGAAAATAAAACCGCATCAATAAGATGTTTTTATTATGGAAATTGAATGTTCTGACATTTTCTTTTTCTTTCTTTCTCTGAATTTGTGGAAGTGTATGTTATGATTTGTCATGTGGCCATCCTGGTTGTTGTTGTTTTCCGGTGTCTTGTAAGCCCATATGGGTTTGGCACCATTTATTGTGCGGGACACTCAACTCAGCTACTACTACTACTACTACTACTACTACTACTACTACTAACAATAATAATAATAGTGTTATTAATAAACACAACAATCAATATATTGATTCAGTGATCTAATGTCATCAATGCATATCTTCATCTCCATTTCCATACAAGCGCACTTACTTCCCTCAGAGATCAGTAATGAAACTGTTCAATCCCATTTTAGTTGCTTTTTGTGAGTTCATATAAATGTTACTGATTGTGTTCAACGGGCAAATAATATTTTCTCATATTGATCGCAGGCTTCTTAACAGAGTCAAATCCAAATCACGATCGTGACAGACTTTGTGACATCAGCAGATATTGTATAGTTGTCCAAAGAATCAATTTAATATCATATTGCGATGAAACTTGTGATTCACACCTCTACCCCCACAACAGCAAAAGTACAACAAAGATTTTAAAAACTAGTTTACTATACACATACTAAACTACTCGGCCTATATACATAAAATGTAATTTGCATGGTATAAAGAAAATAAATTAAAGTAAGATAAAGAATACATCCAAAAATGATTTGCCCTTGGACAGAATTTTGAGTTAATAAAAAGCAGATTTGGGAATTATCATCGACCTTGTCACAGCTCATAGGGGGAATAAGAGACTTAGCACCTTTTTCTTTTAGGTTGACGAAGGACTAGTGTCTTAGATAGAATGATATATGAATGGTGAGCAATATCAAGAAGACTATAGGTCATTAATGTGACATCAAAACACCGTACAGATGTCCCAGAATTTACCCTGACAGACCAGCACATACACTGTATATTTAGCTTGACATCCCATCACAAAGTTAGATCCACTGTATCAGAAGCAGCACTCAAATCCAGCAAATCCTCCAGAAGATTTTGTGTCAGCAGTTAAACTGAATGTCACCAGAGGCAGTTTTAACCCCGTGATAACCCAGACTGAAAGTCACATGAGTAGACTGTGGAGCATCCTTCTATATATCTGTTTAATATCTTTGATAGTGACAAAGCCATGGCCACATTTCTTCAGTATTTAATGTGTTTTTATTTGCACCTTGTCCTGAGACTAGGACAGTTTTCTCACCCGGGGGAGGAGACGGTGGGGAAATTTGCAGCAGGCTCAGTTTCCCAGAATCCGATGACACCCAGTTAACATTTGTAATCGCGGATATCATTTTCCTTGTATAATCATACTACACACCTTTCAGCCAAATATAGCTTTCACGTCGACAGGAGGACTCGCCCAATCAGACCGGGTGCAGTCCTGTCCCTCTCACTGCATGCACAGAGCTTATTCAAGCAAATGTAATCAAAAATCTGCATAGTTTGACCTTTTGAAAGCTTCACTTTAACGTCATTGAGTGGATTGTTTTTGACATTTGTAAGCAAAAATATAAGGTACTGGTCCTGACGCAGTGTTGGCCCCATGAGCAAGCAACTGTTACTCTCCATTACACTTACACATTAATCATAAGTGTGAAGAACTGACATTTTGATATGATCTCCACACTTCTTTCAAGATGCATTTATTCTTCTAACAAGGAGAGATCAAACGTCATATAAATTATGGACAGATACAGTATTATCTTTGAATAAAAGGACGATAGAGAACATTAAAAGCTGTTATGCTGCCCTCTGGTGGTTGTATCTGCAGCAGACTTTATTTAATAGTTCCTTTACTTTTATTAGTTCTAAATAGTGGGATTTTTTTTTTAACATTTCTTCATAGGAAGTGGAGTTGTCGTCCTTCCACATATGTTTACCTCACCTCCCTCCACTTCTTTCTGAAGAAAAAAACAGAAAATAAATAAAAACAAATGCATTACTTGATGACTATGGGAAGTACTTTAATCCTCATTTGTCAGAAATGTTAAAACCAGTTAATCCAGATTTTGGCAGTTATTTGTACTGCACATAAAAAGGCTACTGTATAGGTTTTACTGTACGGCAACAGTTCTCCAAACAGGACTCTTCATTCAAAAGTACAACAAACAAGAACTGACACATGGACATTTAAATACTCGACTTTTAACTCTTTATAATATATACACTCTAATTCATAAAATAATAAACGCATGACTCCAGATATATTAAATGAAGCCTAAGTGGACTCTTTAGTCCACGCTAATAAGTTATGTGCTTATATATAACATAATTAATACATTCAGTAATCTGTGTGAACAAATTATTCCTAAAGCAGATCGTGCAGGCGGATCAGTTGAATAAAACACTTTTATGCTGAGAGGAGTTTGTGCGCAGAAACATCCCGCACGCTTCATCCGCGCTGCGTCGACACTTCACCTCAAACACGTTTTAAAAGACCCCGACCGACGGACAGCTGTGCGGGGACGGCTGGGGGGGGGAGAGGTCCCGCCGCTGAAGTGTCAAAGTTCTCATCTGATCCTATACCTGCAGCGACTCCTCCGGTTTCACTGCAGGTCACCACCACCGCGTCAGCAACAGCTGTCCCGCCGCCGCGCACCGGCTGCCAGAAGGGGAGAATTACGTCCTCGGTGCAAGGCTTCACGGAAGACTTGATTTTTTATTTTTCCTTCAAGTTTCTTGGATTCTTTGGGAATATTTTCTTTCTCGTGCAAGGTAACCTGCCTGCTTGTTTTATTAGTGAGCCTAAAGATGACTCCCGCATGAAGCTCAGAATATAGAACGTTTCCTGTCAGGCAGGCTGAAGGGTTTTGCTTTGACTCGATGGTTATTAAGGGTGTCTTCACTGGTCGTGAGTTTTATCTTTATGCTCCTCTTTCTGTGGATGAAATGGGCTCATTTGGCATCTTCCTGATTTAAAGGTTGTAGTTAGGCATATTTGGACTGCGGTGAAACCTAACGTGCACAGTTTTCTATCGAGTAAGTGAGAACCAGTTGGCTGTTTTTAATAAAAGCATTTAAAAAGTATAAAAATGTAGCAGTAAATGAAGCAGTATCTTTTCATTTTCTTTCTTGGTGCGCAAAATAATCAGTTGCACTGGCGAAGAAATTAAATTCAAAGTCTTGTTTTAATACGAGTGCCTTTTGTTCTAATAATAAACTCGGGCCTGTAATTGAGCTTAGGTCACATTTGGAATTGGTAGATTTATGGCTTCTCAGCAGTGTTTTTAAATGTTTGTGTTGTGAAGGCGCACGCACATGCAGTGCTGAACTGGTGCTTTACTATTATGCTACAGTAGACTATGTACAGTATGAGAGGAGAAACTGCGCATGAGCATCAGAACAGGTCTTCACCTGCCAGGTGAATGTCTCCCTGGAGGCACATGGCTGTAATGTCCAGTGTGGACACTTTGCAACCTTCTCGTTCCTCACTATGCCTCCTCCCACAGGGACACGGTGTTATTTTTAGCTCATGTCCTCCTGGCAGATGGGCAAGATACTGTGATGCTGTGGATGCTCATACCCCACCGTTTCTCTGCCGTTAATCCATGTAGCCCAAATCAGAGGTGTGGGACAGAGACAGCCTGGCTCCATGCGTGCAAAGCAGATCTTTGGACACGTTGGTGGGAGACATGGACACACATTAGATCCTGCTAATGTAACACGATGGGCTCCTGCAGTGGAGTCCCAGCAGAAGTGAATGGGAAGCATCAGGTGGTGTTTTTAAAGTCTTAGAGTGAGTTTTGTTTGCACAGTGCATCATTTGTCTCACATATTTTCCTGCGTTCTCCGCTGACAGCGTCACTCGTGTCATCACATACATGGTAGATGGCAAAAAACATATTTATTTGTGTAGCTTTTAACCTGCATCTGCGGTCGTCCTGTGTGTGTGTTTGTGAGTCTCGCGTCACATGTTCTTGGACGCAGAAGGTGTCGGTTTTGAGTTTCTTTCACCAACTGAGCCCATGTGACTGCTTGGCCAGGCCTCTGTATTTTCCAGAGTATTCAAAAGGTGAAATAAGGTTAAAGATCAGCAAAACTTTTTCTTTTCAAAATCTCATTTGTTCAGTAGAATTGAATTCATCGTAGAGTTTTACTGCTTCCCTTATCTGAACATTATGTGACAGAAATACCTTCTTTTTTTTTTTTTTTTGTCAACGTTTCGTCTTAGCTGTGGTTTAAACATGAGCAGCTCCTTCGTGGATGTCTGTGTTTTTTCAGGACCTGACCGGCATTATGAATATGATAATGGCTCCCGCTGGTCTCTCACAAGCAAGATGGAAAGTTCTCCATATCGTTTCCACACTCAGATTTCTGTGCAGCGAGTGCAAAGGCCAAATGGGTCAGTTTGATGCAGCAGCAATCTGTTTAGAAAGCTGCATCAGACTACATCCAAGAACATTATTCCTGGTTCATTCCAAATCTTAATTCACATCCAATGTTTTTATTAGTACCTTAAAGGCAACAGCCTCGTGCTCTCATTAAGATGTTTGTGGTGTCCTTAGAGACACATTATGTGGATTCATCCCCTAATAAAGTCTGGATTTATGGATCAGTAGGCCTCTATGTCTTTGTTAGCCATCTGACCATCTGACTGCACCGCAGAGATTACGCTGGGTCTTCACAGCTCCTCAGTATGCAGAGGCATACTGCGAATGACAGCTGCTGTCCTCTTAGCAGCAACATAATGAATGTAGGGACATAATGCAGACTGAGTCCACTGTGCACACATGCAATAAAGACATCAAAGTAAGACGCCGAGGGCGTGACCCCGAGTAGATGCTGATCATTTCCAGCCGTGCAAAGCTCGTGGCAACATACATTGAGGCGGAAGGAAGCGGCGACAGGTGGAGAGGTCTGTTTTTAATGTGGCTCCCTATAGAGTTTGAAATACAAGGTTAAGTGTTGGGTGACACAGGTGTTGAAGCGAGCTGGGAGCGAGAGCGGAGCACAGTGCTGCGATCTGACCCCGTGAGAAAACAGGGGGAACAGGAGCACGGCAAATGTCAAAGGACGAGTGGATAAAAAGCCCTTGTTTGCACTCTGGATCCGTTGTTTACAACTTCACCACATTCCAGGAGTGGTAGGTGCTGTGTAATGAGGGGACTGAGACGTTTGTCATGTCGCCACAGACTTTGAACTTGTCAGAGTTGAGCCAATAAGTCATTAAAACTGATTAAAACATGAGGTTCTCTGTTAAAATCACATCCGTAGTACAAGACAGCATGTAAGCCATCTCCTACTATTCGAGGAAAGTTTTTGCTCATCTTCAAGTTAAACATATTTTCTATCTAGATCTTATTCTCGTGAACTTGGCCTCTTGACAAAAGCCAAAAGCTAGTTTGGCTAGTTTCCGGAGGTGAATATTGGCATGCGCGTTCCACGGCCGGCTAGTGTAACGAAGAGGTATCTACATTACATCGTCTATATCCTCGACCGGAATCTCACAGGTCACATGGCCTTCGCTGACATGCAAGCTGATATATATATTACTGTCGGGGAAAGCTTCTGAACTTCCACTCCCTCTTCCTCAGCTGGGCCACCTGTCCTCAGGGCGAGTGAACGAGCACGGTCACGAAACCAGCTGATTGTCTTCAAAGGTCTGGACACAGGCAATGTCTGATGCTCAAAGAGCTAAAATGATCCCCTATTTCACAAAAAAAGCAAAGATTATTGAAACCTCTAGAAAAAATATTAAAAAATTGTGGAGCAGAACTTTGTCTGTTCTCTTCATTTCTCACCAGTTCACCTCACGACCCCTCAGATTTATCTGGTGACCCTTCTAAGGGGCCCGACCCCGTAGGTTGGAAACCACTGGACAAAACTACCTGACTGTATATAAAGTAGTTAAAACTATCTCCGCAGCTACAACAGTACAATGCTGCTTATCCATTGACCCATCAGCATTAACAATCTAATCAGTTCCTGCAGCTCTTCGATTGCAGAACGAGTACTTTTACTTTTGATACTTTAGTATATTTTACTCATAATACCTCTTTAATCTTACTTTGGTAGGATTTTGACGCAGGACTTTTACATGTAACTTAGATAAAGGATCAGGCTAGACAGGACTGTATGTTCTGCACATGTTTTCTGATGACTTTAAGCCCGATATAGAGAATCTAGTTTGACTGGTACTGAATATTGCACTTGTGAAGAAGCACACGCTGATACAAACTTTATCACGGCGCCAACACATATTATTTACCCAACTGACGAGGCAACAACCTCATCAGGGAGGACTTTTTTTAAGATTGGCAGGCTTTTCATTTCTACGTTTTCTTTTTAATAAAGGACATCTGATGGCTTCAGCAGTAACGGTGTGATGTAATGCAATCAGGAAATGTTCCCCACGTAAGCCACACAGAAACGCATCCATTCTCAGGATGTGTATTTTAAGGTTGGCTCACGGTTGAGGGCGGCTCCGCGGCTCCTTGAGTGGGGAGGGGGGGGGGTTCTGAAACGGGATGATGAGGGGGGAGACCAGGGCTTAGTATGGAGGTGGTGTTGGGCTGCACAGGTTGATGTTGGTAATAAATCTGAAGGTTTTCTTTTTTGGTAGGATGAAGAAAATACTGACCCATGTTTTAAGGAGAAAAGAGTTGTGTGTGTGTGGGATAAAAGATGGTGGTTTGATGAGTGATGGAGTTAAGATGGAATGATTAAAGAGGGCTTCAAAGGCTCAAGTGTCATGTATCTGGAGCTTTAGTAAAGTGGCAGATACGGGGTGCGGCGGCGGAAGCTTACTGTGTTTGGGGGCCCTTGTGTAAAATGGAAGGTGGTGGAGGAAGAGGAGTCCGCTCGGTAAGATAAGTTGGCACGCTGTGCTGTTTATCGGAGAGATGTGAGGCGCAGAGCGATGGCTCAGCCAGGACGGAATGAGCGGAGTCATCGGGCCTCTGTAACACGACGCTCCGTCCTGATGGCCCGGAGCAGCTGGACGGCCACCGTATCTGTTTGAGTGTGTGCGTCTCCTCACATATGTGTGTGTGTGTGTGTGTGTGTGTGTTTGGGAATGCATCGTTTTCTGTGTGAGTGAGGTGGTTTGAGGAGGCTGCATTAACGTGTGTGTGTGTGTGTGTGTGTGTGTGTGTGTGAGAGAGATCAGTGGCTTTCTCTTGTTGCCATGTTGATGGTCTCATGTCTGTGTCTCTTAGCTCTTCTCTTTTTACGGCCTTCCTGGTGATTAATGCCATGCCTGTATTCTTTCTCTGTATTTAACTTTCAGAACATGTCGAAATATTTACCTTTTAGTTTTATAGATTTTATTGCAAGTGGTGTCAAGGCTACAGCTGATGCCTTGTAGATTTTGTTACCTTTGAGTAATCTAAGCGGTTTTTGCTGCACAATTATGTATTCAAACTTTCCTTAAATCTACTGCTTGTTAGCTAAAGGCCCACTTATAGTTACGTTGTGTTTTTGTCCTCCAAATATTTTCAAATGCATATCAAAGCTAATTTGCAAATGATTTAACTTTCAAAATGCATATTGATAATTCCCCCTTTAATAAAAATACCACTTTCAAGTTAAGTGGTTGCAAAGTACACAATAGTAGACCACTATTACTCAAGCAGTATATCTTTTGATTTGTATTGGAGGGTACATCCATTTAAAGAAAAGTATCTAATATAAATACATAAAGGATACTTTACTCCTTTTATTTTGCCTTGCTAGCAGCAGCCTAACCTCAGCTGCTCCAGACCGGTTACTAAACGCATCAAAGGATGTAAGCGAACTCCTCTTGGATCCGATATGGAGCGTCTGCTCGGCTAATAAGTAATCTGATGTACACGAGTAATGTCATAGTCTCTTTAGAGCGGTGGGAAAGTCCAAGCTCTCGTCCCGAGTGCGTCTAGTCATTTTGTTACCGTCCTGACACTTTAAAGTGCTGGTGTTGTAGTGATGGGTGAAGGGTCAGAGATGTGGAGCAGGGTGCAGGGCAGGAGGGGTTTGTAAGCGTATGGAGACATGAACCTGTAGGGGTTCGGACATAGGTGAAAGAAATCTTCCAACCTTATTGGCTTTTGACCCCTTGAAACAAAAGTGTGTCTACATGTGACTCCTCACAAGGTGAACATGTTTTGAGCAGTTCCACCAAACCCTTGTGTCATTTAAACAATTGACAAAATCTAATATTTCACAAAAAAAGTAAAGATTAGAGAAAAGTACAAAAACGTTGATACATTTCTCACTTCAGTAACGTCACTTCCATGGTTATTATTTATGTGTGGAGACGGAAATTTATTCAAAAAAAGACTGTGTGCATGTAACGAGCAGAAATTGATACGTGTTGCTGGACTTGCTGAAAAGAGAGGTATAACTTATTTTGTAGGATATCATACAAACTGTTGTATGAGGATACGTTGAACATGGCGGACTACGTGAAGAGGACCCTCTACGTAGATATAAAGGGCTCATTCGAAGCTAACATAGTAATAATTATGAAATTCCATTTCCTAAATCCTACACACTGTTCCTTAAAGTCAAAATGGTTAATGCTACTTCTTCCATTGCATCTCAACATGTATTATCTCGATTCCCCCCTCGTCCTCCCTGCAGCTCCTCCTAGGGAAACCCCTGTGTGGCGGTATCCCTTCGCGATGCGAAGATGGCGTCCCTGCTCCCTCCCCGAGGCGCCTACGAGTTCCGCCGCTTCACCCAGGAATCGCTGGCGGAGATCGAGAGGCTCAAGGCGGAAAGCGAAAAGGCAGCAGCAGCAGTAGAGGGCCACGAGGGCCACGAGGGCCACGAGGCCCACGAGGGGGAAGAGCCAGCGGCCCCGAACGCTGGTCTGGAGGCGGGCAAGAGTCTGCCCATGATCTACGGAGACGCTCCATCAGAGATGCTTAACATGCCTCTGGAGGATCTGGACCCCTTCTACAAAGCACAGCACGTCAGTTTGAGCACATCTGGGTCTGGCATAGCAATGAAAACACACACTTAGTGTTTAATGAGCTCGACTCCGTCCCTGCATAACCTTGAAATACTACATGATGTATTACTTCAGATACATTTCAGCTGCATACAGTATCCCTTACGCAATGTATACCATTTCATTCGTGGCATGTTGAATGTTAAAGTGTCATTTCAAGATTGCCATCACTTATCTATTGGAAATGCAGGGAGTGTTTTTAGAATACCGTTTTTAGAATACTGTAGAGTACCGTCTTTTGCATTTATACATTTATAATGTGTGTTTTTCAGACATTCATTGTGATCACTAAAGGAAACACAATCTTCAGGTTCAACGCTGAACCGGCCTGCTACGTTCTGAGCCCCTTTAGTTTGGTTAGAAGAGGATCCATCAGAATTCTCATACATTCATATCCTTTGAACTATTGTTGCTTGAGCTTGTTAATTATTAAGTGTGTTCATGTTATACAAATATAAAGTGGTGTTGAACTATGAATAAAGTGGGAACATTTCTGCTTATATAATATATATATATATATATATATATATATATATATATATATACATACATAATGTCAATGTTTGTTTCCTTAATCCTGAATTAAATTATTTAGCATGTTCATCATGATTACGATTCTATCGAATTGTGTTTTCATGACGATGAGCAACCCTCCAGCATGGAGTAAAACCGTCGAGTGAGTACTTCATTATTGGTAATTCCTGTGTCACATTTAACACTTTCTTACACTAACTTGTGTTTCTTCCTACTTGTAGGTATGTCTTCACTGGTATCTACACCGTTGAGGCAACAATCAAAGTGTTGTCAAGAGGTTTCTGTTTTGGATCTTTTACATTCCTTCGAGATCCATGGAATTGGCTGGATTTCATGGTGATCAGCATGGCGTACGTGTACTTTTAATAGTTATGTTTATCAGATGTATCGTTGCATAAACTCCCCATCTTGACATTAAAACAAAAAAATTGAGTGCATAAATTGCTGTTAAACAGAAGTGACATTTTTGAGATCAGCTACTATAAAAGTTGTTTTTGTGCATTTTAAGCCAATTGGGGGGAAAAGGGAAAGTTAATAGATAATATGTTGAGTCTTATTTGGCTTTGATTCATTGTTTTGTGTCTTTCCACAGATACGTCACTGAGTTTGTTGACCTCGGCAACGTGTCAGCCCTCAGGACGTTTCGTGTACTTCGAGCCCTTAAAACAATTACTGTGATTCCTGGTATTTCTTTAATCTCTTTTTTTTTAAATTGTGTTGTGTGAGTGTAATTTCACAAACGAGACGGCATATATACATAAAACTTAATACTTTCATTTACGTCCTCTGGCATTATGTTTTGGGAGAAGATTCATAGCTTCACTGAATCATTTGTTATATTTATTATCATTTGGTTGTCGCAGAGCTGTTTCAGACGTATCCCTTGTATTTCGTCAGGTTTGAAAACCATCGTTGCCGCTCTGATCCAGTCAGTGAAGAAGATGGTGGACGTCATGATTCTGACCGTCTTTGCGCTCGCTGTGTTTGCCCTCATTGGCCTTCAACTCTTTATGGGAAATCTGCGTCAGAAATGTGTGCGATGGCCCCTCCAGACAAACGAAACCGCCTTTGAATTTTTCAACACCACCGCCACATTCAACGACACGGCGTCCTTCAACAGCACCATGGGCTTCAATGATACCACATATTCCAACAGCACCTTCAATTTCAATGATTATATTGAAAACATAGGTATGTTTAACGCATATTACATCTATTTTCTTTTAAGCTGATATTTTTCTAAATGGAAAAAAAGGTTTCATCTTCTTGTTTGCTTCTAGAGAATCACTATTATTTGGAAGGCAGCCTAGATGCTCTACTTTGTGGAAACAGCTCCGATGCTGGGTATGTATTATGCACACCGACACTACCGTGATCATTCTATCTGGTCGGAGTGTGATTTGGAGAGCTGGGAGAGCCATTGCAGCCTCTTCCTCTTTGTTGATAGAAAGTGCCCAGAGGGATACGAATGCATGAAGGCTGGGAGGAACCCCAACTATGGCTACACCAGTTTTGACTCTTTTGGCTGGGCCTTCCTGGCCCTCTTCAGACTCATGACCCAGGACTACTGGGAGAACCTTTTCCAGCTGGTTGGCACTTCTTTCATTTGTTGCAAACAGATTCGTCACGTCTAACTTGGAACTCTTTAACACTTCAGTCATAAAGTGAATAAATGTGTCCTTAGTTCTCGTAGCTTCTTTTTTGCTCCAAACACAGATCCTGCGGGCGGCCGGTAAGACATACATGCTGTTCTTTGTGGTAATCATCTTTCTGGGCTCCTTCTACCTCATCAACCTCATCCTGGCTGTGGTAGCCATGGCTTATGAAGAGCAGAATCAGGCAACTCAGCGAGAGGCCATAGAGAAAGAGGAAGAGTTCCAGCGGCTACTAGAGCAACTCAAGAATCAGGAAGAGGTAACTGTTACAAGCAATAAGCAGACGGCTCATCATATGTTTAAAAAAAAATGAAGATCTTTGCTGTAATTGTTGTTTACATGATTAACTTAACTCTCGATGTTTATTTTTAATTTCTCAGGGTCAAGCTCTTGGGAGCTGTGCCACTCTAACCAGTAAGAAGTCGCTGAGTCATCACACCATGTCTGAGTTGACAGACGATGAACGGAGCCTTGAACGTGATGAAATTATCAAGGATTGTAACGGGAGAATCATTCCCCGTCTGTTAGTCAGAGCGCCCACCATGGTCCAGGTGAATCCATCACCCTCTGGTCACAATTCACTGTTTTAAAAAGAGCCTTTGGTTTTGATTTGCAGCTGACGACATTTCTAAACACATTTTACAGTCTGCTGCAGATTACGAATGTGGAGAGAAGTCATCGGGCTCCGTTCACAGCATGTTTCATCTGGACGAACCAGGCCTGAAACGGAGGACTGCTAGTGCTCTGACGGTGCTCACTGTAGCTGCTATAGAAGGTACAGTGCCAACAAAGGTAGAAACTTAACACTGATAATGCACCGAGGATTATCGTACAAAACCCCAAGGTATAAGGGTTTATTATCTAGCTTTGATTAAACTAAAATAAGAAGACGACACAACGGAGCAGCAGGGTATAAGCCTCTGCAAGTGTCAAGTTCCTCCAGGGAATGAAGATGAGATGCTTTAATGTGAGCTCTAATTGCTTAGATTATCAAGCAGTTGTTCACATTATACACTCATTTTATCCAAAGCCAATACAGTAGCATTGTCTTGAGCTTGCAATAATCACATTGTGCGCTGGAGAAATCCCTGTCAACTTTCAGTGTCGCGCCCTCGTGGCGTTAAGCTTTGGCTATTTTAGCTCGACTATAACTTGGCACACACATCAGTGCTCTCCGTTAGCTGTGTTGTGCACATCATTTAAAGATGATTAACGGGACCGTTTGTAGCATTTAGTGGGATCTATTGGCAGAAATGGAATTTAATATTAATAAGTGTCAATCAATACAATACACGCCAGTTGCGTTTTCGCGTCGGCCGCCGTAGTTCTCCTACACGTACAGTAGAAGTTAGATGATACCGTGGACCTGTAAAGCTTTGATGAAGTGACGGTAGACTACCTAATTGTTTTTCTTTGTCTAGAGTTGGAGGAGGCTCAGAGGCCGTGCCCACCCGCCTGGTACAAGTTTGCCGACACGTTCCTGAAGTGGGACTGCCACCCGCGATGGGTGGTCTTCAAAAAGTGGGTGCTCTTTGTAGTGATGGACCCCTTTGTCGACTTGGCCATCACCATCTGCATCGTGCTCAACACCCTCTTCATGGCCATGGAGCACTACCCCATGACCCCAGAGTTTGACTACATGCTCTCCGTGGGGAATCTGGTGAATATGTGCCACGTTACATTTCAATTTTATCGCAGAAATGTCCGTACGCCTCAGACTTGATTTGAACAGAAATGTCTGCCCCTGCAGGTTTTCACTGGGATCTTCACAGCGGAGATGGTTTTCAAGCTGATCGCCATGGCTCCCTACTACTACTTTCAAGTTGGCTGGAACATTTTCGACAGCATCATCGTCAGTCTCAGTCTGGTGGAGTTGGGGCTGGCAAATGTCCAGGGGCTGTCTGTCCTCAGGTCCTTCCGTCTGGTGAGAAACAATGATTGGATTCACTCGTGTCCATTTACCACAATGAGATAACTTCTTTATTATTCACTGTCTTGTTGCTTGTGTCTGTCCTGTGTTGGAGATAGCTCCGTGTCTTCAAACTAGCGAAGTCCTGGCCCACGCTCAACATGCTGATCAAGATCATTGGTAACTCGGTAGGAGCTTTGGGAAACCTGACTTTGGTGCTGGCCATCATCGTCTTCATCTTCGCTGTGGTGGGTATGCAGCTCTTTGGCAAGAGCTACAAGGACTGCGTGTGCAAGATCTCCTCGGAGTGCGAGCTGCCGCGCTGGCACATGCACGACTTCTTCCACTCCTTCCTCATCGTTTTCCGCATCCTGTGCGGGGAGTGGATCGAGACCATGTGGGACTGCATGGAAGTGGCCGGAGCTGGGATGTGTTTGGTTGTCTTCATGATGGTTATGGTCATTGGAAATCTAGTGGTGAGTGCAACAATTATTCATTCACTGCTGATCCCCATCTTAAATCTAAAGCGTGGGGGGAAATGATTTTACAAAACTAAAAAAACGAAAGTGGATGTTGTGGCTGGTGCGTGGTGTTTCAGGTGCCAGAGAAACGATGAAGCAAAATCCAGATAGTTTAAGTAATATTCTTTAATTTGCCCCCATTAGCACCCTCAAAGTGTTGGCTAGTCTTCCTGTGGTCCACTCAAAAACAACAACAATTAGAAGGGCACTCGGAGAGCGCAGACCCTCCGTTCCCATAGGTGAATTATAATTATCTGCTTTGACTGTCTGTCAGCAGGATTAAGGAGAAATTAGATTTTAATGAAACTTGGTGGAAGGGTGTATCTTGGGCCAAGGAAAAACCCTTTAAAATGTTCAGCCGATTAGCTTGGTGGAGGTCTGCGCTCTCCGAATGCTGTTCTAGTTTCATATAACTGTTCACTAACCTTTTCACACAGCGTCTGGGTGAATTTGTGCAAAGAGGCAGCAGAGTTTGTGACTGTCTGGATCGTGCGGAAATACTGTCCCTGACATTTTATCTTGGCCTCACAGAACAAGGACGAAGGAGGGATAATACAGAGATGATCGCTCTGTTCATTTCAGCATTGTATTCAATGAGCAGAGCCAAAACCATTTCCTGTTAGGTTATTCATAGAAATGGAAAGGAAATGGCTCATCGTCAAGCTGACTAAAGTATTGCGATGGCCACACTGTGCCAAAATTTCCACGGCTTTCTTGCGATGCACACTATTTGCACTGACATAAAGGCGAATAGTTTACCAGCACACGTCACAGGAGGGGGGTTTCTATTTGAATCGAATGACTCGAGCCACCAAACAGTGGTTTTGACCTTGAGTGTGTGCTAAGATCCGGCTCAAGGAAGCCTGCTGCCAACACCGACAGCTGAGCGAGCAGAGCTCCGGTGGCAGGGGGACTGGGTGTAAAGGAAAAGTAATTTGATAGCAGATTAAAGCGTAATTGATGAAGAGGTAATCATAATGAACCATCAGCGCCACAGCATATGGAGTGGATTTAACTTGCTTGTTTAGGGACGATTATGATCATTTTGTTCTGCTTATCTTTTCTCTTTGTGATCAAAAAATGGTTCTGAATTTCCACGCTCTCCTCTGCCGAGTTTTTGCCTAAGAAGAAAGAAAACCACTACATATTTTATGTTATCTTGCATAATTGTAAGGGCTCAGACCAACATTATTGAGAACATGTTGAATTCTTTCTCAAAGCTAGAAAAGAAAAGGAAAAGTGCAGCATTTTGGTCAGTAGGCCTATTTGTTTTCTTGTCGAGAGTTTGATGAGAAGATCGATACCAACGTCATGTCTGTTAAATCTGAAGCTGCAGACAGTTAGCCGAGCTTAGCATTAAAGACTACTTGTCCAGGCTACTTGTTTCAACCTGCTTCTAGATTTAACGCTAACTTAAGCTAACTGTCTACTGGCTAAAAGACATCAGAGTTTTATTGGCTCTTCTCTTCCAACTCTCGACAAGAATGTAAAAAAAAAGAGTCAAACGTATCTTTTAGATAAAAACTTAACCTCTCACATCATCAGGTTATTAGAGCAGCTCTAAAGAGAACTGAATTTATTTTGTGCCTTTCTTTCTTTACATTTCTTTGACACTGTTGTTGTTCCTCCACCGTTGGGCTCGGGTGGTTTTTTTTGTGCAGCTCATCTTCTTTACTGATCCACAGCTCCCACACTGGAATGAGGCAGATCAGCCTGCCGTGTAACCGCGATCTCCCGCTAAACCTGAACAGGCACCGAGAAAATGACCAACGGGTTTAGACTCTAAATATAGCTGCGTCTGCAACAGGAGGCCGACGACATAATATTTATTGATGTGCCATCACAGGACCAATTTGATATGTGATGTGTATTTGAGACTTTTGTTTTCAGCAATGTCGGCATACTTTGACGCAGCGATTATAAAAATAATAATTATTTCACATGCAAACCCAGGATTCGCTCACCCTTAGTTGTGATAAAAAATGTTTAAATCTGGTACATTAATCGCTGATATAAACTATAAAATTATATTTATTTCAGATACTGTAGCTGCATTCTAAATACAGATTTCTTGCAGTAAATGTTTTTTGTTTTTCACATCAAGGTGCGAAAATAAATTGTGGTAATTTGACATTTCAGTGTCAAGTTATCTTTTCCTTCATGTGTCTTTCGTCAGGTGTTGAACCTCTTTCTGGCCTTGCTGCTCAGCTCGTTCAGCGGAGACAACCTCTCCACTGGGGACGAAGACGGGGAGATGAACAATCTCCAGATCGCCATCTGCAGGATCACACGAGGCATCGACTGGTTCAAAGCGCTCGTCGTTCGAACCGTCCTGCAGATTCTCGGCAAAAAGCCTAAGGAGCCTGAGGAGGGCCCGACGGACGACGAGGGCCCTAAAATGGAGGAAATTGAAATGAACCACATGGACACCGGTCAGAAAATGGCAGATGGGATACTTAATTGTTTAGTTGAAGGCCGGCCTTCTGGATTTGTTGTGGACGGAGAGTTCAGTGTCAACGTGCCAATCGCTCAGGTTGAGTCAGACTTTGAAAACCTGGGCGAGGATGACGAGGATGATGCTGATAATGCTAATGACTCAGAGATTTCAGATGAGAAAAATAATGAGGTAAGTACAGTAGATAAATCAACATGTTCAATCTATTTGTCTACGTGCACTGACAATACACAATACAATATTTGTCCTAAACGGTGAAAGAAAAGCTAAAAGAGTATTGTCAATTTAAAAAAAAACTAAATAAAAGTGAGATGTCAGTCAAACAGCGTCTGTAGACGTACACACAGTCCATAGAATGATAAATAATTAGACTGACACCTGTGTAGAGCCTTCTACAGTCGTCTTAACTGTGTACTTAAATTAAATAATTAAATATCTTTTGGGGGGAAAGAATTTATGTCTTACTGCTTATGAATGCTCACTAAAGTGCATTCTTTATTCCTGTGCTATTTCAGAAAAACTTAGAAGATGAAAGTAGCATTCTGGGAAAAGTCAAAGTGAGTAACTCAGCAGACCCCAAAACAAAAGAAATCCTTGTTTCCAATCATTGATTAATAAGGTCATTCCTGTATATGTGGTTCTGCTCATTATACATTTGGGGGGGGGGGGAAATCAAAGATGTATATTTTGCATGGTGGGTTTGTAACTGAGCTTCAATTGTAATTCTTGACTAGCTGATGGGTGCTTTGAATGATGGGGATTCTTCAGTGTGTAGCACAGTGGACTATCAACCACCTGAGCTTGAACCAGAAGAAGTGGAGGAAGAAGAGCCGGAACCCGTGGAGCCAGCGGCCTGCTTCACCGACGGTATGAACCCAACCGCAGGATAATTTACCCTGAAACCTTAAAATGACCTTCTCACGGTGAACCTCTTGGACTCTCCTCTCCCCTCAGAGTGTGTGAGGCGCTGGCCGTGTCTGACGGCGGACATCACCCAAGGTAAAGGCAAGAAATGGTGGAACCTCCGTAGGGCTTGCTTCATGATTGTGGAGCATGACTGGTTTGAAACCTTCATCATCTTTATGATCCTCCTCAGCAGCGGCGCTCTGGTGAGTGCCAACGTCACTGCATCAAATTTAGAAATGTTGACCATTTTTTTATGATGCTGTATCACGATTAGGACGTGTGTCTGAGTATCTTATATCTTCCTTTGGCAGGCGTTTGAGGATATATACATAGAAAGACGCCGAACCATCAAAATCATTCTGGAGTATGCTGACAAAGTTTTTACCTACGTCTTCATCATCGAGATGCTCCTTAAATGGGTGGCATACGGCTTCAAGACCTACTTCACCAACGCTTGGTGTTGGTTAGACTTTTTCATCGTAGATGTAAGTTTCGGCATCTTATTTCAAAGCTCATCTGTATGTGTAACGCTGCAACAGAACATGCGTACGAACATGTTTGATGTCCGATCATTTCCGTGGTAACACGTGAATAGGAAATGTTTTGATTCTGCCACAGATTTCCCTGATTAGTTTAGCTGCCAACTGGATGGGATACTCGGACCTCGGACCGATCAAGTCCCTCAGGACTCTCAGGGCACTGAGGCCTCTTCGGGCGCTGTCGAGATTTGAAGGGATGAGGGTACGTTTTTCTCTGCGCAACCACGTTTGAGCAATGTGCACGACTAACCAGTGGTGGAAAGTAACCGAGTGCATTCTTTTTAATAAAGTACTTGTACTTTACTTAAGTTTGGTCATGATTTTTGAGAAATCAAATATATTTGTATTTGTCAGAACTTTTTTCTTTTCTCCTTAAGTACTTAAGTAAAGAGAAATTCTTCCACCACTGCAGCTAACATTGATCTAGATGATGCTGTGATGTTTAATGCATTATCACACTAATTTGACTGGCTTTCCTCTACAATGTGTGTTGAATGCATGCTCACATCATGGCTGCTGTACCAGAGCTGACTAAGGTAAGAGTACGGGCAGGACTTGATATCAATAGCAAGCTTGTTGCTCACTCTTGCAAACAAAATAAACCAGGGAACATTTCTATACAATTCTTTATAATCCCTCAACTCTAACAAAGTCCTCTCCTCTGAACAGGTGGTGGTGAACGCTCTCGTTGGAGCGATTCCCTCCATCTTCAACGTGTTGCTGGTGTGTCTGATCTTCTGGCTCATCTTCAGCATCATGGGAGTCAACCTGTTTGCTGGGAAGTTCTACCACTGCATCAACACCACCACGGGGGAGCTTTTCCCCATGACGGAAGTCAACAACAGGACCGACTGCCTGGCCGTCCAAGAGGCCACCCAGGAGGCCCGCTGGGTCAACGTCAAAGTCAACTATGACAACGTGGGACAAGGCTACCTGTCACTGCTTCAAGTGGTGAGGAGGGCGTTTTCCATTATTACATACTTGGAAATAAGTATGTAAGTTGTGTTCAATGACAGATTTTGAAAACAATGTTCTGTATTTTTCAGTCAACTTTTAAAGGCTGGATGGACATCATGTATGCTGCCGTCGACTCAAGAGAGGTAGTTATTAATTAGTTATGTCTTCAAATATAATATTTGGCATTAGATATGTTGGTAGTTTGAAAGTAGTATTTTTCTGTACTAAAAACAAGGTGAACACTTGCTAATTATATTAAAATCATCCTGTAACAGAAGACCCTTCATTTAGTCTTGTATTCTGAATACTTTTATGTTACATTATATTATTAAAAATAGTTATAGTAAAATGTACGCAGGATGCATGCATGAATTTATACACATATAGATACGTGTTTATACATATTCATGTATCTGTATCTACAGATGAATATACAGTTTATTATTTGTTATAATAATAATTGCAAATACAGGTTGGGCATTTTGTGGATGTATTAATTCAGTTACTTGCAATGAAAGTATTAAAAGAATATTTAGAATAAAGGAATTGCATATCAGAAATCCCAAATAACTTTTTAATATCTTAGTAACTGTTTTGGCAAGCACAGTATGTATACTACGTTATTTTTTATTAGGTATATGAACATAAGTAAATTATATGAATCCAAGTCTGGAGTTCAAAGATTCTCCCTTCCCTTTCTAACACCCGCCTGCACTTTAAGATAATTCAATATATATGTAATAATATATATGTGACAGGTGGTGATGGTGAAGTGAGACCAGTCTTTGGATCAACAAGTACCCTCCGACTAGTATCTTATTCCAGTTTAACCTTCTATCCCGTGTCTTCCTCTTTCCACCTTTCTTACTTTATAGTTCAGAAACAGAAAAGGGACAGATTTTTCTTTTCTAAATGTTTTGTTCGTCTTTTAGGTTGAGGAGCAGCCTTCTTATGAGATCAACCTCTACATGTACATTTACTTTGTCATCTTCATCATCTTTGGCTCTTTCTTCACACTCAACCTCTTCATTGGTGTCATTATTGACAACTTCAACCAACAAAAGAAAAAGATAAGTATCACACTTTTTTTTAGTAATCTGCACAAAAGCGATTGTTTTTCTTTTAGTTACACACATACTCATTTATATACTTGTAATTGTTACACCCTGGCCCATTGTTTTCCTGTTTACAGGTTTTCAATTACTATTTCCTGTTTTATTTTGGTACTCACCTTTTGTCTCTCGTTCAAATGCTGCAGTGAGTCAATGGCAGGCAGTATGAAACAGTTAATAAAAAGTATATTGAGAAAGTGTGAGTCACTGCAACCACGAGAGGTACTTGAGCATGTAGCCATAAAAGAGCACCCAAAACATTATGTGGTTTGGTGCAGCAGTATGCGAGATCAGCCTCGGACAGACGCAGAGAGGCACACACCCATTCACAGACGCACACACGACCTATCTACTAGAAAACATAATATATCTGCAAGTAAACACAACCTCAATCTTGTGGTCATTAATTAACAATATGTTTGTTTTATGTTGTGTCTGCACGGAGATAAAGACCTCTTCATGACTGAGGAACAAAAAAAGTACTACGAAGCCATGAAGAAGCTTGGCTCCAAGAAGCCACAGAAGCCGATTCCACGTCCAACGGTTTGTTTATAACTGATATTAATATTAACGTGTTATTTTGTTTGGGCGAGGCTATTTATTTGATGTTGAAAAGAATAAACAATGTAACCCAACGTAATGAAACATCAGTTCGTGCTCATGGTGATGTCACCTCTGATGTCTGTGTTCACCTTTTCTGGTGCGGACCAAATGACCCTGTTGGATTTATGTTTCTGTTCCTTGCACTTCTGACCTGCAGAACCTGATCCAGGGAATAGTGTTTGACTTCATCAGTCAGCAGTTCTTTGACATCTTCATCATGGTGCTCATCTGCCTCAACATGGTGACCATGATGGTGGAGACGGACAACCAAAGCCCCGAGAAGGAAGATTTCCTCTTTAAAGTAAACGTTGCTTTCATCGTCGTCTTCACGGGCGAGTGCGTGTTGAAGCTCTTTGCCCTGCGACACTACTTCTTCACCAACGGGTGGAACGTTTTTGACTTTGTTGTGGTCATCTTGTCCATAGCTGGTGGGTAAAGTTACATTACTTAGAAGCTGTGAATTGTGTTCAAACAGATAAAAGGTGTTCATATATCGTCTCCTTTTTATTTCAGGTTTGATGCTCTCAGACATAATCGAGAAGTACTTTGTATCACCGACTCTGTTCAGAGTGATCAGACTGGCCAGAATAGGCAGGATCCTGCGTCTTATTAAAGGAGCGAAGGGCATTCGGACGCTTCTCTTTACTCTAATGATGTCACTTCCTGCTCTATTCAACATTGGCCTCCTGCTCTTCCTCATTATGTTCATCTTCTCCATATTTGGCATGTCAAACTTTGCCTACGTCAAAAAGGAGGCTGGAATCGATGACGTATTTAACTTCGAGACGTTTGGCGGCAGCATTATCTGCCTGTTTGAGATCACAACGTCAGCCGGCTGGGATGGGCTTTTACTTCCGATGCTGAACAAAGACTTTCCGGACTGCGATCCAGACTTTGAGAACCCGGGCACGGATGTAAAGGGCAACTGCGGCAACCCGATCATAAGCATGACGTTCTTCTGCGGCTATATCATCATCTCCTTCTTGGTGGTGGTCAACATGTACATCGCCATCATCTTGGAGAACTTCAATGTGGCGCAGGAGGAGAGCGGCGATGCGCTCTGTGAGGACGACTTCCAGATGTTCAACGAGACGTGGGAGAAGTTTGACGTGGACGGAACTCAGTTCATTGAGTATAGCCGGCTCTCAGATTTCTGTGATGCCCTGCAGCAGCCGCTGAAGGTTGCCAAGCCCAACCGGCTAAGCTTGATTGAAATGGATCTGCCCCTGGTCATCGGAGACAGGATCCACTGCCTGGATGTCTTGCTGGCCGTCACACAGATGGTCTTGGGAGACACGGTGGAGATGGCGGCGATGCGTGAGAGCATTCAGGCCAAGTTCATCCTGAGCAACCCCACCTCGGACTCCTTCGCGCCGATCACCACGACAATGCGCCACAAAGAAGAGCAGATGGCCGCCGTCGTCATCCAGAGGGCTTACCGCCAGCACCTGCTGAAACGCTGCGTACGCCACGCCGCTTTCATGCACCGCTGCAAGAGGATTGGTGGAAAGGAGGGAGGCGATGATCCACCAGAGAAGGAGGGCATGCTCGCACGGAGGATGGGAGTGCTCTACGGGAGCAACGTGGACCTCGCCGAGGAGATGGAGCAGGCCGATTTAGAAACTCTTGCAAGCCAGCAGCCTCCGAATCCTGAGACAATGTCACATGACACAGGGGCCCAATGTGGTCCAGAACCCCCCGAGCCTAATATCATGGTTGTACCTGTAGAAATCACTAATGAGGTGTTATTACATTCTGCCCCCAACCCACACCTCTTTACCCTACATGCAAATCTGAGGGAGACGATCGTATAACAAGCAGCAGAAGACGGTTAATTATGTCGTCCTCCTGTTGCATATTGGATGAAGAGCTTACACAGTGCTAATGAATGTTTAAACTTAACAAATAACTGCTGTTTTTTTCATGTGATATTCAAGTTTCTTTTTTGGTTTTAAGGTTGAAACTGGAGTTCATGCTTTTTGTAGCTTTCTAGTAAAAAATCCATCTTGAAATTGCCAGATAAAGCCCCCTGTGTGTCTGAAAATAACATATATTTCAGTATTTAACACTGGTTGAAGTCCTCATTTAGGCCTGCAATAACTCTGTTTTTGGTATGGTTGTTATTATTACCACAAAACCAACCCATGTGCCCCAGTTTCTAACCAAAGAGTAACCTGAACAACACATGAGAAAACCTGAATGACCTCATGTTTATGTCACAATGTTTTCCTTTAAAAGCAACAAGATACTGTGACATGAATGCAGCACTGTTATCCAACTCTACTGAGCAATATTTGAAAATGACATCAATATATACACAACCATTTCATGGCTAAAAATAGCTAAAAATGGAGTCCCCTCATTTGTTATAATTGTCGAAAAATTAAAACAGAGCAAAATCCTATTCCTGCTTACTTTAAGTCACTTTTATGTGGAATCTCATTGACGTGAAGGCTCTACATGCTAATTCTTTCAATTAGGCACTAAAAGATGTTCCATGTTGAGTTATTTTTGTACATATATAAGGTTTATCCTCATCACATTTATCCCTGTCTACCAGTGAAACCCTGTTATTCTTTGTTAGTTAACAAGAACACGGGCCAGCTAATGCAGTTACCATCTGAAGGCCCAGTTTATATTGCACTATTTATATCCCTTCCAGGTCAAGTTAGAGCAGACTGAGAGACCTTCCTGTTTTAATTTCACCACTGATGTATGCATGTCTTTTAAATGTTTTGTCTATTTTTTTTCCACCTCGGATAGATCTGAAAACTCAAAGCAAAGCAGTCACTGTGACTTTAAGATGTGGTGTTTACAGTAACACAACTGCTGAGCTCGAACAATTCGAGCAATAATTTAAGTACTTGCTGTACATTTTAAATTAAGTTTTGCCTAAGGTTGCATCAAATTTGTCTTTTGACTTGATATCAAATTGATTTATAATTCTGAAACACAACTGAGTGTTGGTTGAGTAAAATAAACCCATGAGTGAAGTATACATAAGTAATACTCCATGTTTCCAATGTGTAGATAATCACACTTATTTACGTATTTAGAAAAAAATAAATCTTTTGTCAAGTCTGTCCTCGTGTAGAAAGGTTGCTGTTGTTCAAGTCTTAAAAACGTCTTATTCTGAATATATATATACATGAACAACATTTGTTTTAATTTTTTTACAATAGACTATAGAAGGTTGTCCCTTCTGTTGTTAATGTGTTCAGAACTGTTTTAACATCAACCCTGTTCTCTCCTCTTCGAGGCGCCTCTTTGTCTTATCCTGCTGCTGCAGCATGGCAGTAGTTCTATAATGTGACCTGCAGCGATCCTATTTACCGTCGCTGCACCGCCGAGCTGCGGTCTCCTCTGATGCTACAGTCAAACTCACAAGACGGTGTCCTCCTTTCGTTTACGTTTCTAATGGAGGGAGCGCTTTACTGGAACACCCGCAGTCAGTGTTGCCTGTACATACACGTTTTTTTCTTTCTCTATTGTATATTTATATCATTTTGTTATTGTAAAAAAATTGTAAGTATATTGTGAGAATAAAATACTTCTTGTAGGGAAAAGTAGGCTGTGAGTTGTCAGTAGCTGTATTGAGTGAAACTACACTGAGGCCCCCTGCTGGTTTGTATGCTGAACAGGCCGCTCTGCTGACTGATTTATTCATTGAAACGTCATATTTGTTTTACAAACTTGGGACTATAGACTTAATTTGAAAACAATCCAGTGCGTCCTTTCCCTCGACCTTGTACTGCGTATTTTTTCGTGTGAAATGGGACATTTGTTGGAGACTATTTGCAGCCACAGATTTGGTTCAGTGAGTATTTGCAGCAGTGGGACGGTGTACGTGGGGCTGACTCAAAGTACACGATGCCTGTTCATGGTAATGAAGAATTAAATCATACAAATGAACTTATAATACATTTTTGTGGGAAACGATGAAGCTCTATATCAGCTATACATTTGTCATCTTCTAATCTCTAGTATCAACAGAACTGCTCACTTCAGCACTTTATATTGGCTCGCTGGCCCAGTCGCTATTTTTTGTTCATGAGTGTCAACAGACGAGAATAAGCGCTGCCTCTTACAAGAAATAAGGAGGTGGGGTGTCTGATTTATTTGCATATTTTTGTGGTTGCACGCTGTACTTGCCCAGTGCTGACTGGCGTTTCTTAAGAGGGATGTGTCTGTATGACAGTTGGCGCTGCCTGGCAGAGTCGTGCTGCTTTATTCAGCTGTGGCTATTTTCATCGGTTGATGTCCAGCCACCAGCACCAATAATTCGGGCTGCAACTAACCCACGGTTACTTCTTAACATGTATTTTTCCTCCGAAATGCAAAGATATTTTATTTACTATCGTGTACGAAAGTAACACATCCTCATATTTGAGAAGCTGGAACCATAACATTTCAGATTTCTTACTTTGATTGAAATACTTCAAAGTTGGTGATTAATTATCTGTCGATTGTCTGGTCGATTATTTGCCTTTTGGAAACAGTTCCCACCTCTGACTTCTACCGTTGATTTAAATCATGTTTGGGCAGCCACCATCGTTTGTGAGAAATGAAATGACTGAAAATGAAAACCCTAAAAGCTTGACTGATTTTCTGAGTCACCTCTCATTAATATTATACAGCGTTTCCTGTCAGCGTTACATGGTTGTTGGAGGCAGCAGTATATCACCTATACACACTGAAATCTGACCAGCTCCATACAAACTGAGTAGGTGCTGCAGGATGCATATTCTTTAAGGGAATAAAGGAAACGTGATCAGTATTTCTGACCTGAATTCACTGAACTGCATGTGGATGTTTCATAACGGTCTTCAGCTAGCAGCCCTGTGGGACTTTACTCACAGTGAGCACAGTGACAATGTTGACATGCTGATGTTTTGCAAGTGTGCATGTCACGGTTAGTACTTTTGTTGGACAATATATTGTCCATATTGTAATTATCGTGCCTATTTTCACCACTTTAGTTTGCAAGAATGCTTATAGTTGCTTTTTTTGCACAAAACACAAAGTACAGCTGAGGCTGGGAATGTCGTTTGTTTACGACCAAACTAATACTGGATGAAAGTGTTACAGTAACGTGATGATGGCGCTATGAAAAGTCAGAGGATCACCAAAGTTATTACAGTTCATCATGGTTCATCATATTTTGATGATTATCAGGAAATTATTAAGGATTATCGTGACAAGAAGTTGTCATATTGTCACCTGAATGTTCCTGTTCAAATAAAAATGTTGCCATTTTTCCGCTATTTTATTCATGCAAAAGTCTTTTAAGACTGCTTGTTTTTCCAAAATGTAACATTTGAGAACTGCTTTTGTGAAATGAAAATCAAGGCACCAAAAAAAGTACTGTTTTGGTTATCAATACTGAAACTTTGATATTGTATTGGCACGAGTATCGGAAAATATCAAACCTTTCGAAGCCCTATAATAACTGCTTTCACATGAATGTTTGTTGTCATCCTACGAATTGTCTCAAAAACCCTCCCAATGTAACTTTTAAACCCGCTAATGTTCAGGTTCTTGTTTCACTCGTCCCTAAAAATGGAACATATGTACATGAAACACTTATTTAAAGGTAAAAAAGTGGGTTGTTGAAAGTTATTCTGGTTCCATGTTACAGTGTTCTTCTTCCCCTTATTTGCCTGTGTGGTGACAGACAGCCCTCCCACTGCTGCAGACACTTTATTCTTCTCCTTGTTCACAACCTTCTCGTGTCTGCAGAGAGATTCGGGACAAACGTGTGAGGACATCAGCGCTCTTAATATTTATTTCTTTTGTCTTTTGCATGCCATCATGTGCTGGTTGCTGGCTGGATGCTGTGGGCTCGCTTTGATCAGCATCTCAGGTAAGTGTAAACTCTTGCAGTTAACAAGTGACTGAAAAACGACAATCACAGTCTTGGTGCTAAATATATCGTGAAATTCTGAATATGTATATATATATATATATAGCATCAATCTTTTCATAATGTTTCAGACATTTAATTGTACTTTTTACGATTGTTTAACTGCAGCTACAATGCATATACGTGTTTTGCATGTTATTTTTGACTCTTCAGAACCATTACTTCCTGAACATCTGGGGGAAAAGAGGAAGTTGTCTTCTGAGACACAGACTATAGTTATTTCAATATACTGTATATACAGTTTACCTTGTCCAAGTTATCTATCAGGTCACTTTATTTCAGACCTGTAGTCTGTTTTAGAGGAAGATGAGAGAGATTTAAACTATATATCCAAATAGAGCACATTTAAAAACCACAACAGTAAACTCTTTAAATAGTATTTTTTTTATCCTCTCCATCTCCACTGAGTACATTATTCTTCTTGGCATAATTTTGGGGGAACACAGTCAATTGCTGAAGACCAGAACGGCAGGGGACACAATAAAGCCAAATTATCTGCATGCATGTTTGAGATGTACATGTGACTGCTGCTGTAACTGTGCCACAATGTCCCTCAACCTTCTCTTGTCTGCCTCAGTGGCCCCAGACCCCGCCGTGCAGATCACCCAGAAGCCCCGGTTCTGCGGTGTGAAAACCAGATACAATGTGATCATTGGCTGTATGTCCACCCAGGACCTCCTGTCAGCCAAGGTGCAGTGGTACAAGGCCGATAAGTACAACGAGGATGTTCTAAACAGAGGCGAAATAGAGGAAGAACAAAAGTTTAAATTTTTTAACAGCCATTCGCCAATGAAGTTTCTCTTCATCAGCGGTGTGCGGATAGAAGACAGAGGAGTGTACTTCTGCAAGTTAAACGACACATGGGGACCTGGGACTGCAGTTGAAGTTATCAGTGAGTAACCTGTGTCAACATTATGTCTTATGCATACAGACACATGATGCAGTGTTACTTTGAGTGGACATTTACTGTGATTTATTGAGGTCTGTACCAGCACATATCTTTCCTCTCACAGGACCCATTGGCCTTCCCCAGGCTCTGCATAGGACCAATATGAAGGATGGTCTCATTATCCTCCAGGGCCTGGTGCTGGCTGGCTGTATTGCTGCCATACTGCTGCGCAGACGACAACTGGTGAGGAACAAGATGAGCAAAACACTTCTGTGCAAAGCTGTGCTTTACCAGACTGCACTGCTCACTTAAGATGGAATTAAGCTGAGGATGTGCAAAACAATATTCACATTCAGGGCCAAGATAACATACAAATCAAGGAAGAAGTTGATTCTTTTTTTCCAAGTAATATAAGCTTTTGGGAATAAAACAGATGTCTGCAATACTATAGACGTGTTGCCAGGTCACAGCTAAAATATAGGCCTTATAACTAATGCAAGAGCTTGTTTATTAATTCATTTCTGATTTATCAATTAATTGTTGATAAGTTCCCGGCCCACAAGGTACTCTGGCAGTACTCTGGCCCGATTTGTCGTCACGGCTGGTGGATCCCATCGCAAGATGGTCTCTAGTTTGCATTACTTGAGATAAGCTTACACAGCTGCTCAAGCTGAAAGATAACCCTTCCCAATTTAGTATGAAGATACAGGAAGTTCTTTTTACCCGTTTACTAGTGCCATATATGCTTAAATTCCTTTTCCATCCTTCTCTTTTGACTTGAAGGGGTCTTTCCCTTTCTTTTGGTGAAAGGGTATGACAGTCTAAGTGTCGTAGTGTTGTTACAACTAAAAACTACTCACCTTTTTTGCCATTTTTCATTCCAGTTTGAATCACCACAGCTAGTCTTGATTAACGTTCAATGTTCCACCATCGAGCCATTAGATCAATGTAACACTAGCTAGCTTACTTCTCATAGCCATTTTTTAAAAGATTAATGTTACTTAATATGTCACAATCGATTCTTAAGGGTATTTTTTTGTGCAATATGCAGAGTGTGTTTATCAATAGCTGGTGCTAACTCCTAAAATGTATCTTTTTTATTTATTCTTTATTTTTTTAACAGTTGGAAAAGAATGACAGCATATACGAGGAGCCTGACACTGATCACATCTATGAGGTTTGTTTGCTTTCATTTTACATTTATATTAAACAAAAGAACAGTGGTGTAAGAAGTATTAATAAGTACCAATATCATACTGGAATAATCCACTGAACGTCCTGCATTCAAAACCTTAATTAAGTAAAAGTATCTCAGTATTATCAGCAAAATGTACTTAAAGTACCAAAAGTACCAAAAGTATTGATTGTGCAGTAAAATGTTCCCTGTCAGTGTTTTACTTTAAGATGTGTCTTGATTAACATTACTGCTGCGATATTGTGTATGTTTCATTTTACTGAGGGTACTTGATAGGTAGTTTAATCTACAGCAATGCCTCATAGTCTATAAGATCATCATTTACCGCCTGTACTTGTGACGACACATCACAGCTGCAGTTTGTTTTTACATCAAAATACACATGCAAGACACACGAATCTCCTCGCACCACTGAGCTCAAAACCACAATTATTATCTTATTCTGTCACTGCAGCTCTTTATAAACACAGCACAACACAGTAGGCGGAACTTTTTTGTGCCTTTTTTTCTGAGAATAATAACTTTGGAAAGTAGAATTTGTGGGTTGAAAAAAAAAAAATATATATATATATATATATACATAAATTTATTGTAGAAATCATAGAATAGGATTTTTCACAAAATACTGTTTTTTTGGAGACCTGAGGCACTGCAGTCAAGCCTTAATATTAATATATTCTCTGTTAGATAGAGAAAATTCCTGACAGAATGCTGTTTTACTGCAAAGTCAAATAAACGGGGATTTAATGTCCTAAGATCCTTTTTACAAACAACAGGAAAGATATTTAAATGTCAGCCGCTCTGCTGTAATATTTAGCAGCTGCATGTCTTTTGTCTTCTGAGTCATGTCCGAATCACTGACCATGCAAATTCAAGCTGTACCGGTGTGCCCAAGCAAAGGCTTAAGCTTAAGCTTAAACTGTTAACTGACTTAAATCTGATTTATTTCCGTGTGTCAGGGTTTGGCGATCGAGACGTGTGGCGGAGATCTGTATGAGGAACTCTCTGTGTACGCCCAGGCTGACGGAGCCGAGGGAGCCGAGGCCCCATGGGAGTGAGACAGCCTCACAATAGCATACTACTTACAAGTGCTCCAGGTTTGAGGTACTTATTGTCCTTAGTGCATTACAGTAGATGGCGGCCGGCATGTCTCAGCTTGGAGAAACAGACAGAACTACTGTAGCAAAGCAATGTTCTGCTGTGAACGGGGGCAGCACATTCAGTGTACGCTATATTCTGAATATATTTCACTGCTTTACCTTGCTGTCGCGGTAGACCAGCAACTCCTGTGTTCTGCGAGGTAAAATTACTGTGTTTGTCAAAGGAGTCTTGTGGCTTTGAAGAGGACATAGATAGCGGGCTCCGTTCCCTGACGGCGATGGTAAAGCAGTGACAATATTCCAAATATAGCCCACACTTTTTTGCAGCTTGCTCCGTCCACAGCAGTACGTTGCTTTGCTCTCCAGTACTCCTGTCTGTTACTCCACATCTACTGTAGTAATACCCTGACTATGGAAAAGTACTTTGTACAAACCCACATCTACTAATCTGACCTCTCCCTTTAAGAGTGCTTGAGGAGATTTGTCATGTTTCCTCTAGTAACAGTTTGTTTATGAATGTGCAACAACATAATTATTGTAAAACGCTTGCTATACACGCTGTTGATTATATGCATGTTTTTAATTAATAAGCTGTGATTTGAATTGTACTGAAGTGTAAATGAACAATTCTGCAATTCAGATTCGACAGCTGACATTTTGGTGCTTCAAGAGGCTTTTTCTTTTTTTATATATAAAGTGTTTTGTATTGTTTCATAATGACTTCTCGGTCTGAGAGTTTGATATCTATTTCATCTAAATGTTACAGCGTGTGCATCAGAGCCTGAACTAGGCCGTGCTTGATGTTTGATTATATAAAAAAACTTTATTCCTTTTTATTCCTGTTTATGTAACAAGATTAAAAACAATAAACATGTTTCCATTTGCTGGAGAAAGTCTTATTTTTATTGGCTTTTACAGGTAAAAAAAATTAACTTAAATAACAAGTTGATCAACAACATTGATTTAAAAAAGATGCTGGTTGAATAGAATATCAATAAATACAAGAGTAAACAACTCAAGACATAAATAAGCAATAAAAAGATAAATAAATAAATAGATAAATTAATTAATCTGACAGATTCTAGTTGGTGAGCAGAGATAGAACCAGCTGGTCTGCTCT